ACCAAAGAACGCTAACACATGCTGGATTTGGTGACAGTGAAGTTAGTGTTAAACTTTGAAAGTACAACTGCATGTTAATGGCAGAAATGAAATTATGTGACTGGGCAAAGACAAAGTAGAGGAAGGGGTTTAAATCAATCTTTCACAAAAATTGGATATTAAATAAAGGAAAGAATGGATACAGAAGGTCAATTTTTTAATAGAAGTAATGAGCTTGACTGAAGGCAAAACAGAAGTTACTAGAAAGGAAGAGGCAATTAGTAACATTTATAGTATTCATTCATTTTTTTCATTCAATAGTCATGTCACTGCTGGATACTAGATACTGTTCAATGACCTGAAGTATATCAGTGAATGAGACAAATTAATTCCTGATTCCCAGCTATATTTTCCTAGTTGCTGTTTTTTATCTCTCTCTCTTCTCCCAACTCTCCCCTAAGATTTCCTGCCTTTCTCTCTCTAATAAAAATTCTCAAGGCACAGATACTAAGCCAAACTTACTAACATCTACAATATCCAGTGTTCTTTCTTGATGTGTATCATTTTCTTTTCAGTACTGAGGTTTGAACTCAGAACCTTGGACTTACTTGCTAGGCAGGTCTACACTGTCAGGCCTTTTTGCTTCAGTTATTTTTTGAATAGGGTTTTTATGCCTAGGCTGGCCTAGACTGTGATCCTCCTATTTCTTCCCATGGAGCTGGGATGACAGGCATGTGCCACTATGCACAGCTTTTTATTGGTTGAGATGGGATCTCACTGACTCTTTGGCCAGACTGGCCTCAAACCACCCGAAATCTTCCTGATCTCCACCTCCCAAGTAGCTAGGATTAGTCGTGAGCCCCTGGGTCCATTTTTTTTTAATTAAATTTATTTCCTTTTAAAAGTTACAGTGAGCTCTTCAAATGAGACAAAAACATTTGTATGTAGTCTTGATTTTGTTTCCAATAAAAAGTCAACAGGTGAGTAAATCAGAAGATTCAAATGAAAAGGCAACAACAATGAGCAATTTGATGATTAGTACATAATATTGCTTCTTATTGAGAAAATTCTTCCTTGTGTATTGTAAACACACTTCTTAAGTTTAGCATTAGCCTCTATCATGTTGGGCTCTTAGTACAGCACTAAAGTGCCAAATACTACATCAAGAGCAATACCTATTATAATGCCAAGCTTTCCCTTGGCAATTACTCACCAAGATGTAATGTCATAGCTACTGGTTTTAAGTTCTCAGGACTCCATTCCACATGAATTAAGTTAAACTTAGCCAGTATTAGTTGAGCAAGTTGAAAAGGCAGAAGGATACCTTCTCTTCTAAATCTAGAGAGAAACATGAAAAGATTTGTTAAGTGGGTTAGTCTGACCTGGGAGTATGCATAGCCAAAGGTGCTGGCTATCAGACATGGTACATTGCAAGGCTAAGAAGATAAGCTCCCTAGGAATTGTACTACATGGCGAGATTTCTCAAAGGAGTTATAACCTTTCAGGGAAGGCAATATTTGACACTTGAAATCATTGTAGAGAAAAAAGTAGTATACTGAAATTATTTCCAAACTTAATTATATGTCATATGGGGAGCTTACTTATTTTTTTTTTTAATGCTTGGGATTGAAACCAGAGTCTTGCACATGCTAAGCAAGTACTCTGTCAGTGAACTATACCCCCGTAGGGAGCTTTAAAAGAAAGTGTACAGATTTTTGAGCCTCTTCCCAGAAGCTTCAAGAATAGTCCAGGAATCCGTTTTTTAAAAAACAAAGTTCCTGTTAAGTATGATTTAGTTTATTCCCAGAACTGTACTTAGGAAGATCTAGAATTTGGGCTGAGGGTGTAGCTCAGTGATAGAGCACTTGCTAGCATGCAGGAGGCTCTGGGTTCAATCCCCAGGACCACCACCACCAAAAAAAAAAACAAAACAAAACAAAAAAACTGGAATTTAGTAAACTAATAAACTGCATAATAAAACATTGAAGGATGAGGTATCTTAAATTTATTAACTTATTTAGCAAACATGTTCAAGTATCTAATATGTGCTAAATAGGGATACAAAGATGAGTAATAGTTTGTGGTCCTTGCTGTCAAGTTCAGAATCTAATAGATTATGTATCAGGAGATAAATAAGACACTGTGGTCAGTGAAACAATAGCATTGCATAGGATGTAATGGGAACAAATAGGAGGAGGATGTAACCACCTCTGTTTGGGGCAGGGAGAAAAAAGCAGCATCAGGAATGCTTCATGGAAATGGCTGAGCTTTTTCATAACAGGTAACTTGCTCCTTATAGCATCAGGTACTGCTTTTTTCAGTTGTTTACTTTAGGAATCTAAGCTAATACTATTCCTGCTTTCATAAACAAAACACATGTAATGTAACCTTTTTATTGATGATTTGGCATGGTCACATGTTATCTACCATTTACGCTGTAGCAAAGTAGTGATACTTTTTAGTTCAGTCTTAATTTCTGCTATCCATAATGGTTCTCTATGGCTGTGTCTTTGTTATTCTCATTTTTCTATCTTATTTTCTTTGTTTTTACTCTGATCCTTTTAATGTCAATATGACTATCTATATAGTACCCTATTTATGTATTTATTGAAATACTTCCTTGACCAAAAGAATTTGGATACAAAATGTAAATAAAGTAAAAGTATAAAACATTCTGTTGAACATGCTATGTGAGGGTTTTTTTGAGGGAAAGTTAAGACGGGTCCTTATTTGTATAGCCAAGGCTGGCCTGGAACTCGAGATTCTCCTGCCACAGCCTCCTGAGTACTCACTAGGATTACATGTGTACACCAACATGTCCAGCTATTATGTGAGTTTTAGTGTATTTTGTGACATACACTGTGTTGTTGTTGTTATTATTATTACTATTATTACTTCAAAACCAATAAATACTTTTGAAATTGTGTAATATAACTCCAATTTTCAAAGAAGCAGAGACTCAAAGATATCAGGAATGGTATCTTGGAAATCAAAAAATATATTTTAGGCCTCCTAATACCAGAATAATTTCATTCTATAAAATCAGTGATTCTCAACCAGAAAGTTAAGACAGAATCATTTGGAGAATTATATGCTTATGATTCATCCCAAAGAACCTGATTCAGTAGGTATGGCACATTTATTTCTCAAACAAAAACAAAAAAAAACTTAGAAGATTCTCATGTACATCCTGATCCATTATATTTTAATCTGGCTTCTGTATGTCAGAATTTGTCTCTGAATAATTAGTAAAATGGGCAATAAAAGCCTAAGCCATGCAAAAGACACAGTCTTTGATGTTTACTATGAGTAAAAAAGTTATTGAAAAGTTTTGAGCAAAAGGGTAAGATGATCTCACTTGGATTTTAAAATGATTCCTCTAGCTACTATTTGGAAAACAAATGAAGTGGGGGGATGCCTTAAGTAGTAGATTTATTTTAAAGGTCAAAGCAACAGGCTTTGCTGACAAATCAGATGTACAGTATAAATGAAGTTAAGAATCCCTCAAACTTTTAGCTCAAGTAACTGGAAGGATAGAAATTACTTTTATTGAGACAGAGAAAACTTCCTTCCAAATAGGTTTGGAGGGAAGATTGGAATATTGTTTTAGGATATGTCAAATTTGAAATGCCTATTTTGACAGCCTAAATGTAGTCTGGCAGATATGGTAGTCTGAAGTTTTCTAGGATAGATAAAAATTTGGAATTTATCAACATGAAGATGACATTTAAAATCATAAAAGTGGGTGGAATTGACAAGAGAGCAAGTATTGACAGAGAAGGAAAAAAAATTAAAGAACTAAACTGTGGGACACTTTTAACAATTGGAGAGAGAGAAAAGAGGCCAAGTTAAGACTGAAGGACCAAAAAAGTTTCTTCCTGGGAAAAAACCCAGGAGAGTGTGATATCCTAGAAGCTAAGTGAAGAAAGTATTGCAAGGCACAAAGGAGTGATTGGTTGTGTCAAATGGTGGAGTAAAATGAAAAATGGTACTTGACCACTGGAGTTAACAAAGTGGAGGGAATTGGTGACCTTGGCCAGGAATAGCTCAGTAAGGTGATTCATAGAAAGGAGTTCAAAAGAGAATGTGAAAAAAGTTAGAGCTGAAACTAGACAACTTTTTGAATGACTTTTCTGTGAAAAGGAACAGAAAAGTGGCTTGGTAGCAGGAGGAGGAGGTGGCATATTTGTATGCTGGTAACAATTACCCAGCAGTGAAGGAAAATGTGATGATATAAGAGAGAGAGGGAAGAATTGGTAAAACTACATCTTTGAGTAAGAAAATGGAGATGGAATTTCATACACAGAGGAGAATTTAGCCTTAGAGACAAATACCCTAAAGTAATAGCAGGAGGGAAAACAAATTATATAGGTTCCTATGCAGGGAGGTAGATAGCTTTGGGAAGATTTTTTTGGGGGGAGGGGTTTGTTTTGTTTTGTTTTGTTGTTATTCATTCTGTCCTAGGAAGTAAAGTTATTGAGTTTGGGGAAGAGGCATTAAAAGTTTGAAAATGAAGAGAAAGTAGGAAATAATTATCAGGGAAAGGAAATGGGTAAATGGACTATAGAACTGATGGAAGGCTCCATAGGTACAGTTGAATTTAAAATGAATCTAGTCTGCCTGAATGTGTATTTTCTGAACTCCACATTCAGGTAGCTAGGTTGTAGGTATGGAATAGTGGAAGCGGCTATAACCAGGGTTGAAATATTGTTAAATAAATACAATGTAAGAGGGGGGCAAAAGAGAAACTGTAAGGGTGGATCATGGGATTTACGCTTAGCTAGGAAGGAACTGAGGCTTTAGAAGTGGGAAGGGGAGCTGTAAAAGGTGTTAGCTTCAATTAACTAACTACAGGGTCCTCTAGTGCCAGAGATTATTAGAGTTATAGTATTAAAAGAATAAATGTGAAAGATAGGAGAGTTTGATGCTAATACAGAGTACCCAATCCTTTACACTGAATAAGGGTGCTTACCAGTTCGTTTAGGGGCTCTAACAATTATTTTAATTGATTTATTTGTTAGATTCATGACTACAAAGAAGGAACTCCAGAAGAGAAGGCCTACTATGTAGAATTATGGGATGTTGGAGGCTCTGTAGGCAGTGCCAGCAGTGTGAAAAGCACAAGAGCAGTATTCTACAACTCTGTAAATGGTAAAGCACTTTTTATTTCTACCATATTTTAATGATCTAGGTCTAGGATCATCTGCTATGAAATGCTGTGACATGCCATATACACCTTAATATGAGAAAGATCTAATATACTCACAATTCTAGGTCTAAATCTGCATATCACATTCCAATTTATGTTTATAGATTCTAACAACAAGCATCTGCTTTGTCTAAATCTTTCTATATTATTAACATAAACTAAAAATTGAGAATTAAAATCATATTTTGGGTACTTGACATAAAACATAGAACTTTTGAAACACTGTTCGCTTGGATGCTGTTTCTCCAGTCAGTTGAAAAAGGAGGAGTCCCATAGTCTTAAGCCAGATGTCCAGAGATACAGGGATTTCTTTTATCTGCCCTTTAGAGAGATTCCTATGTAATTATAAAGTGCTGCCTAGGGGTAATTTTAGGGTTGCAAAAATTTCATCCAGCTATAAATATTCAGGTGGTTGAACCTCCAGACTTCCAGATGGAGGTATGTAATAGAGGACATAATTACCATTCATAGAGTGCCTGCCCTTGTCAAAGGACTAAACCACTTGTCTTTGTGATTTGCCTCTAAAGTGTCTTTCTTCATTTATTTTTCATTTTAAAAACATTTTTTCTGTGAAATATAATTTTGACTTGTCTTTGATTAATACCCCAAAAGATTTGGCATCTCACCCTTTCAGTAGGACCTCATGCCATGCTTAGATCTCATTCAGTATTAGATAAGAATTGTATTTATTCAAAACCTAACTTCCTTGTATTCATCTTTCAGTATCTTCCCATATCATAAGGTCTTATGGATACTACTCAAAGAGGTAGAGAAGGTTCTTGGATATATATTATAGAAACATAAGTTGTTTTTCAGATCCCATGTCTCATTTAGGTCAGAATTCTTTCTGAAATGTCATAGTCTAATTGAAGAAACAAAACATTCATAAATGAAATAAACTAATTAAAATATGATATTAATATATGCCATCATATGAAAAACAGTAAGACTAGTATAGTGTGAGGTAACTTCTTAAAGAAAAGAAGGAATGGAACCCAGTTTAGACTTAGAATCAAGTGATAAACTTGTATTAGTCAAGTAATTTGTCAAGGTAGATATGAATCTGAATTACACAAGGAAGTTTGGATATATACTCTTATATACCAAAAGAGATAGGATAAAAATTATAAGTAAATAGTACAGATAAAGACCATTTGAATTCTAGAAATATGGAATTCTGAGTTGTAAACTTTTAATGGCTAAAGAAATCCAGTGATACTCATATTTGATTATCTCTTCTGCAACTACTACTTACTAGCAATTTGTCCCGTCCTTTAATATCATTGAAAAAAATTCCATATATCCTATTTTGGTTTTGCCGATAAGACTGCAGTATATTCCTTTTTCTTAAAATTAAAAATGCCATGTTGTTTATTGGAAAATCTGTTTCTATGTTCTTTCTCCCTAGCTCTGGAACATTTCTCCTGATAGAAGCACTGGAAATTCCTTATCTACTACCCTAAGAAATAGAACATAATACTCTCTCCATTCAAATGCACAGTCTATCTTAGCAGTTACTTTCTTCCCTCAGTACCTTACCTTCTTCCCACTCTCAGGAGCTAGGCTATTAATCTCAGCAGGAAACCTATGGAAGTTTCTCTGCTTCCGTCTCTTAAAATTAGAACATGTGACTCCTTTCATCTGGACCCCACTTGGCTTCTCTAGCTCATATTCTACAAAGAAAGGGTTCTCAGCCTAAATGCAAAATGGAGAATTAGAAAAGGGATGCTGAAATGTCCTTAAAACCTCAAAAGCCTCACTTAGAGATCCTCACAAAAATAAACTTTCTTGTCCATCTGCTAGCCAACCTGGGCCTTTGTAATCCTTTCACTTTCTCAGTCAAAAGTCTCACCTATACTTTTGTAATATTTATACCTGAGAAATAGGGAAAGCAGAAAATATCTGCCATTGTTTTGCCATAAACCAAGATGTTATTATGCTTTCCTTCAGTCTTTTACTGTCAGAATAACTGAGTATATGGGATAAGGGTATAGCTCAAGTAGGGAGAGCTATACTGGGTTCAATTCTCAGTATTGCAGAGAGAGAGAGAGAGAGAATATCTGAGTGCAAATTCTGTCTAGCCTACATGTGACATGTAGGGAAAGTTATTCAACCTCTTTGATCCTCATGTTCTTGTGTGTAGAAAGGATATAGTAACAGTCATAGGACTGTTCTGAAATTTTTAATTAGATAACGTGTAAAACACAATATTTAGCACATAAGTACTAAATAAATTTTAGCTATACTCTTTATTTTCTTTTCTTTTTTTTTTTCCTTTATTATTCATATGTGCATACAAGGCTTGGGTCATTTCTCCCCCCTGCCCCCACCCCCTCCCTTACCACCTACTCCCCCCCTCCCTCTCCCCCCCACCCCCTCAATACCCAGCAGAAACTATTTTGCCCTTATTTCTAATTTTGTTGTAGAGAGAGTATAAGCAATAATAGGAAGGAACAAGGGTTTTTGCTGGTTGAGATCTTAAGGATAGCTATACAGGGCATTGACTCACATTGATTTCCTGTGCGTGTGTGTGTTACCTTCTATGTTAATTCTTTTTGATCTCACCTTTTCTCTAGTTCCTGGTCCCCTTTTCCTATTGGCCTCAGTTGCTTTTAAGGTATCTGCTTTAGTTTCTCTGCGTTAAGGGCAACAAATGCTAGCTAATTTTTTAGGTGTCTTACCTATCCTCACCCCTCCCTTGTGTGCTCTCGCTTTTACTATGTGCTCAAAGTCCAATCCCCTTGCTGTGTTTGCCCTTGATCTAATGTCCACATATGAGGGAGAACATACGATTTTTGGTCTTTTGGGCCAGGCTAACCTCACTCAGAATGATGTTCTCCAATTCCATCCATTTACCAGCGAATGATAACATTTCATTCTTCTTCATGGCTGCATAAAATTAGCTATACTCTTTAATGTAGGCCTTTGTTCCCTTTTTTGTTCCTTTGTCTAAATCTATGCTCTTGGTGCATATAAGAACCCTTCACTGAAAAGGTAGAGTGGGTTGGGAGCAAGTGTCAGATATCTCTGTTCCAGACAGTAGGAGAGACACTGGTGTATGTATAGTAAACTATAGCTTGCATACACAAACTTGTTATGCAAATGGAGGTAAAAACTAGAGGAGTCAATTAGTTGTACCTTTTCTGCTCTTCCTTAACAAATTGATGGATCCCACATTTGAAAATGGAGGAAATCAGTAATTACATGTCCTGTTTCACAGTAGAATCGGTATTATACTGTAGGAAGAAGTTGGGAGTTTGAAACACAAGATAATATTCTAAATTTCACTGGGCATTAAAGCCTTTCTTCTTTTGTCTTTATCTTATTGTAATAATTGCCTCCTTTGCCTTTCTGTCTAGGATCTTATCTGATCTGTTTAATTGTATTTCTGAGCCTCGTTACATTTTGTTATTTTTCTCACTCTCAAAAATTCATGTATTTTCTACTGTTCATACTTCTTAATGACCTCTTCCTACTGTCTTCTAATGCCATATTTCTTTTGTACTTTCAAATGTCTTATAGGTAGCAAGAACAAAAAAAAAAAATGAAACTTTTGAGTTGATCAGGTCCAGGTGATAACATAGGACAATATTTTGTCTGTTAAAGAAAAGCAATTGTGTTAATACTGGGGAGCCTGGTGATAGAGAATAAGTAAGTAAGTGGGTGGAGGTTAATTTGATCAAAGCATGATATATATAGGCCCAAAGTACCAAGGCGAAATCTCTTTGGACTATCAATATACGCTTAAAAAAATGAAGGGCAGGAGGGAAAAATAGGTCTTTTCTGGGGGGTGAGTACCAGTGGGAGGTGGGTCAGCATAAGGAAAGAGTAATTGAGAGTAAATATGGTAGATGTATTTTTAATCCATACGTGAAAATAGAAGAATGAAACCTATTAAAATTGTTCTAAGAAGGTGAGGGGGAGAGAAAAGGGAGAATGATGGGGTATAAATCTAAGATGTATTGTAAGCACATATGTAAATATCACATTATATCCCCCCACACAACTATTAATACATTAATCAGAAGTTTTTAAATGAATAGCAGTTGTACATATTTAATCAATAACATTTCAATAAATTTTATTAGTATTGTTTTCAGTGAGTGTAAGTACTATTATATTCAGTGCAGAAGCAGCATAACTTTTTTAATGCATATAATTTCTTATTACACTTAAGTGCTTTTTTTGTTTTGTTTTGTTTTTTGGTGGTGGTACTGGGGTTTGAACTCAGGGCATTGTTTTCTAGGCAGGTTCCCTGCCACTTGAGCCATGCCCGCAGCCCTTTTTTTTGTATTTTGGTTTTGAGTTACAGTCTCCCTAATTCTGCCTGTGCTAGACTCAAACTCATGATCCTCTTTCCTCTGTCTCCCAACTGGCTGGGTTTACAGTTGTGCACCACCATGCCCAGCCTTGTACTTAAGTACAAGAAGTGCCACTTGCAGAAGTGGTTCTGCAAGTAAGGCCAAGCATAGAGGAAGCACTTGGGAAGTGTTGAATGACACTCTAAATATTTAATTACATTTTGTTAAAATATTGTAAAAAAATTTTAAAGGTATAAAACTGACAAATTTTATACTTATTTGTCAATATTTTTAAAAAATAAATGCCTGGGTTTTGTTAGTCAGATTTGAATATTAGATTCATTAAGCAACCTAATGCTTGCTCTTACTAAAATTCTCCTTGCCAATTGTGAAGTGAAGAGGTGTTGTTAGAGTACTGACATTATTTTCTGTGATTATTTTAGGTATTATTTTAGTACATGACTTAACAAATAAGAAGTCATCTCATAACTTGTATCGTTGGTCATTGGAAGCTCTCAATAGGGATTTGGTGCCAACTGGAGTCTTGGTGACAAATGGGTAAGCCCAGAATTACTTTACAATAGGCTTGAAATTCTGTAGCAATGATAGGAATGAACTTCACAAAATAACACTTTATAAGATGTTGCTTTGCAAATATTTTCTCCCAATCTATATTTTGTCTTTTCATTCTCAAATTAGTTTTCATTTTGATGAAGTCTGACTTCTCAGTTGTTCTTTTCTGAATTACCCTTTTGATATCATGTCCAAGGATTCCTTGCCTAATCCCAGATCATATAAATTTTCTTCTATAATTCTTCTACAAGTTTTATAGCTTTGGGTTTATATTTATATCTATGATCTTTTCTCACTATATTTTATATAAGGTATGAGGTTTTATCTGAGGTTAACTTTTACATTCAAATGTCCAATTATTCTAGCACCATTTGTGGAAAAGATTATCGTTTCTCCATTGAATTGCTTTGTTCTTTTGCAAAAATCAGTTGACCATATTTGTATGAGTGTGCTTCTGGACTCTTAATTCTGTTGATCTATTTTATCAATTTATTGAGTTTTATTAGGAGACAATATATTCATTTCAGAAAGAAATTTTCATTGGTGTCAAGGAATTTAAGGTGGCAGTAAAAATTATAAGTACCTTCGTATTTTTACTCTATAGCTTCATTTTGATCCTGTAGATGAACCTGCAAATGTATAAAGCAACATAAATACATTAGTGCTTCAACGGTACATTATATGTAATAGCAAAAGATTTAGAAACAAACCTAGGGTCTAACAACAGAAGATTTATAAATAAATAATGGTATGGCCACATACTGAAGTATTATCCAACTATTTAAAAATAATTGGGAATATCTCAACTGGATGTGATGGTGCATACCTGTAATCCTAGCACTTGGGAGGTGGAGGCAGGAGGATTGTGAGTTCTAGGCTAGCCTGGGCTGCATGTATAGTCTCAACAACAACAACCACCACCACTATATATATATATATATATATATATATATATATATATATATATATATATATATATATATATTTAGTATATATATGTAAATATTTATACTAAAATAGAGATCTGCAGAGGATATATTAGTAGGTTTTAAAAAATGGAGGTATAGAGAACAAATATATCAAATAACTTCCAATGTATAAGAAAGGGGGAAAATGAGGCTATGTACTTGTATTTGTATAAAGAATCAGTGAAAGGGGCTGGAGATGTAGCTCAGAGGTAGAGCATTTGTCTAGCATGGGAGACGCCCTGTGCTAGATATCCAGCACTACTTCAAAAAAATAAAAAGAGAATCAGTGAAAAGATAAATCAGAATAAAAATGGTTACCTGTAGGGGGCAGGGGAAATGGGTAGACAGAAACAACTAGGAATAAGACTCTTTAGCATATATCTTTTATATCAGTTTAAATTTTGAACCATATAAAAAATTTAAGTAAAAATTTTATTACTTTTTTTTTTTTTACCTATTTTCCTTTTTTTGGCAGTACTGGGGTTTGAACTCAGGGCCTCCCGCTTGCTAGGCACTCTGCCAGCCCTATTTTTAAACTTTTTTACCACAGAAAATTTCAAGCCTACATAAATATAAGGAATAGAAGCTGAACCCCCATGTACCTGTCAACCAGTTTAGACAATTATCAGTCTATGGCCAGTCTTGTTTCATCCATACCTCTGCCCACTCTTCACCTTTCCACACACCCAAATGCATTATTTGGAAGCAAATAGACATCATGTCATTTCATCCTTATATACTTCAATGTGTACTTTAAATGATAAGGACTTTTTAAAAACATAACCAACATAATTATCATACTTAAAATTTTAACAATAATTCTTTAATCAAGTATTATTTTAATTTTCCCAGTTATCTAAAAAAGTGTGCCCAGTTCGTTCAAAACACTATCTAAATAAGGTTTACACATTGTATTTAGTTTCTTAAGTTCTCTCTCTTTTTCTTTCTTTTTTTTGGCAGTACTGGGGCTTGAACTCAGGGCCTTCACCTTGAGCCACTCCACCAGCCTTTTTTGTGCTGGGTATTTTTTTTTAATTTTTATTTTTTTATTATTCATATGTACATACAAGGCTTGGGTCATTTCTCCCCCCTGCCCCCACCCTCTCCCTTACCACCCACTCTGCCCCCTCCCTCTCCTCCCCACCCCCTCAATACCCAGCAGAAACTTTTTTGCCCTTATCTCTAATTTTGTTGAAGAGAAGTATAAGCAATAATAGGAAGGAACAAGGGTTTTTGCTAGTTGAGATAAGGATAGCTATACAGGGAGTTGACTCACATTAATTTCTTGTGCATGTGTCTTACCTTCTAGGTTAATTCTTTTTGATCTAACCTTTTCTCTAGTTCCTGGTTCCCTTCTCCTATTGGCCTCAGTTGCTTTTAAATTATCTGCTTTAGTTTCTCTGCGTTGAGGGCAACAAATGCTAGCTAATTTTTTAGGTTCATTACCTATCCTCACACCTCCCTTGTTGCTCTCGCTTTTATCATGTGCTCAAAGTCCAATCCCTTGTGTTTGCCTTTGATCTAATGTCTGCATATGAGGAAACATACGATTTGGTCTTTTTGGGCCAGCTAACCTCACTCAAATGATGTTCTCCAATTCCATCCATTTACCAGCGAATGATAACATTTTCATTCTTCTCATGGCTGCATAAATTCCATGTGTATAGATACCACATTTTCTTAATCCATTCGTCAGTAGTGGGGCATCTTGGCTGTTTCCATAACTTGGCTATTGTGAATAGTGCTGCAATAAACATGGGTGTGCAGGTGCCTCTGGAGTAACCTGTGTCACAGTCTTTTGGGTATTTTTGAGATAGGGTCTCGTGGACTATTTGCCCAGGCTGGCTTCAAAATGTAATCCTCGTGATCTCTGCCTCCTGAGAAGCTAGGATTACAGTCATGAGCCACCAGCGCCTGGCTCTCTTTTTCTTTTTTAACTGTTTAGAAATTTATTTGTAGACGATGGCTTGTTTATTCTATATAGTTTCCTGTATTCTGAATTTTGCTAATGGTATCCCTGTAGAGTCTTTTAAACTTATTTCCTGAATCTTAAATCTTCTCTCAATTAGATAGTTAAATACAATGTCTAAAAGATGTAGGGTTTTTTGTCTTTTTTTGTTTTACCAAAAAAAAGTGGTATTTACATAAAAAATGGTACCTGATTGTCTCTTTGTGGTTTTAAGTTGTCATCCATGTTAAAATTCCCCATTAGTTTTTCACTTAGTGGTTTTTAAAAAAAATTTCAAGATCAAATTTGAAATTGGATATAAGATTTGATGAAAGTAATAAAAAGGAGAGCTAAATAAAGTTAACATGGTATGATTTTCTTTTTAAATTAATACTTTAATTGATAAATCATAATTGTATATATTTGTATTGCAATGCATGTGATGTTTTGCAACAAAGGAAAGCTAAAAAGAGAAATGAGAAAACAAATGTATGTGCTGTACATATGGTAATATTTAAGAGATTGTGCATGACTTTAAGTGACAGAAATGTATGTGTATCAAAGATGGCATTTGATAGAATATATACGGAACTTTTCTGAGACACTATTAGTGAATATAAGAAAAAGAAAGTCTTAAAGGAGAATACTCTGAAAATTTAATTCTCTAATACATCAAATGTCAGTTTCACACCATGCCTCCTAAATCAGGGTTAATGTCGATAAGAGCATATTGAACTTGAACTATTACTGAATTTGATGTAATGAATACAGTGATAATATTTGTATGAGACAGGAGCTTACGTAGCTCAAAAATAATTGTGTAGCTGAGACTCTGTAAGATTATTGTGAAGGGCATAATGATTTAGTAACATCTCCCCTCCACCCCAATTTAGATTACTCTAAAAGAAAGAAAAGTAGTAGAAGAAAAACCATGCTCAACTGGGTTGTAGTGATTGGATTATGTAATGCTGATTTACTGTCATAAAATGTTCAAAGGCAGATTTTGCTGACTGTTGTAAATTGAGGTTATAACATATCAGAAAGCCAAATTTGCTTTACTTCTAATATGTGAATAGAATTTAAATTAATTCAATAATCATGGACTTTATGTTCCTTTCAGTAATGAGAAATGTCATTTATATCACTATTCTATCCTTTGAATAAAAATAAAAGAAGGAAGTGTAATAGCCAGTGACCCAAGGCTACTAACCACTAAGTGATCCTGATTTTCTGTCCTCGGTCTCCATGGCTTTCGTGTCATTATTTGTTATTAAATTTGTTCCTTTTACTATCCATTTTATATTTCAGCTGTTTCCTCCTATTTCTATTTGTTTAATCCATCTTTCTCCAGACTATAATAACACCTACATCCAACCTATTTAGCCTTCATCTTCCATTTTGCTTTTCTGAAATGATCCATTTTTTTAAATATTCATAGATAGAAAAGTGGATGATAGCTATAGAGCTTATTCATACTCCAGAAGATAGCCAGAAGCTTGCCATTTTCCTCTCTAGCATGTCTGTGTGCCTTGCTAGGCTATTCAGTTTTCCCTACACTGACGTTTAAATCCACTCTCTGCTTCTATACCAGAAAATTTTGAAGCTCTCTGTCATACAAGATAGACCTTTGAGAGAAGTCAAGACATGTAATCGTGATGTACTTGGGCACTCAGTTGTTCGAGTCATCTGCTATAAAGATACTCAGGAACAAATTTTGGGTAGTTAGATGAATAGTTGGAACTCAGTAGATAATAGTGGATTGATAAATGAACAAGTAGATTGAAGACATTGGGAGAAAAGTAGACTTATAGGTGATGATGAGCAAAAATCAGTTATCAGTAATAGCATAAGCTATTTGCATTTAACTATCAAACATCTGCATTGAAAAGGTAAACATTGTTATTTATCACAGGGATTATGATCGAGAACAGTTTGCTGATAACCAGATTCCACTGCTGGTAATAGGAACTAAGCTGGACCAGATTCATGAAACCAAGCGCCATGAAGTTTTAACTAGGACTGCTTTCTTGGCTGAGGATTTTAATGCAGAAGAGATTAATTTGGTATGTATTTTCACTAATATATGTTTATATTATTATCAAATAAAGGCAAAAACCAAAGACTTACAGTCAAGTTATATATTCTAGAGAAAGAAGCTTTATTCTCACAGTCAGGCAGTTAAGGTTCGAGTTCAAAGTATAGTCAAGATTAAAATCAGCATGTCTAAGACTCAAATGACCATAGTCACTTTTGACTTGTACAGTGATCTGTTGGAATGTTCAAACTTTTTTCTAAGAACAATACAAATCATGGACTCTTTCTTGAGAATATTTTTTAAATCACTCCAAAATCAAAATAATTAAATTGATTAAGGTGACACTATACCTTGATTATTCTTGTTTTAGAAAAGCCTCTTAGCTGCTTAAACAACAAAATTTACCTTAAAAGGCAACAAAAAAAAGACGTGAAAATTTCAAACTGCAAACTAGGAGTGTATCATAAGGACTAATTTATATAAACTTATGCATATACAGAGGATTGAGTCCTTCCTAAGATAGCTAGCTTAATTAGAATCAAGGACTGAAAAGGCTAATAAACCTACTCATATAAGGCCGATTGATTTTCACAAAAATGAGTAAGCCAAACTTCAAAGGTTTAGTAACTTAAGCAATGTTTCACAATATAGGAATATTGGCACAGATAATCAAATTCAGAGCTTGCTGGCTTTGAATACCCCTGATTTCCCTAATACTTCATGATCTTTGAAACAATTTTTATAATCTCTTTGTGTGGAGGGCATGGGACACATTTAAAATGTGATCCTTGTAATGTTGTGAATGGATAAGATAGGCAGTTGCTACTAAATTCATTAGAAAGGAATCATGTAATCCTAGACATCATAACACAGAATAAATGCCACAGTGATTTCAGTAATTTCTCAAGGGACAATGAGGGCCTATAGATACAAACAAGACACATACATTGCAAAGGCACCTAGATAGTATCTTTATAGTTGGGGCTTAGGTGGCATTTGAGGTAAGCATCAAAGTGTACTCTGTCTATTGAGATAACAAGCAAAGACAGTGCAATAGTGGAATTCTAGAAGGATAATAAGGTCTGTACAAGGTAGTATAATGATTTAATATTCTAGATTGTTTTGTCTCTTAAAGGTCCCATTTTTTTCTTATTTTAAAGAATCCTATTAAATAATAGCAATGTATTTATTGTTTATTACTATTAAAAAAAACTGTATATCTTTGTGACTTATAAAGAGATGGATAAATCCGTGGCCACGATTTGTTCTTTGTTCCTCTAAATGCTTATTTTCATGTTTCCTACTATTATATAAACTGCATAGAACTTAATTAGTTGAGTACTAATGAATTAGTAGTCCTAAAAAATGAAGTGTTCACCGTAATTACTTTATTTCTGGTTTTCAGGGTACATGTAGGCATATCTTCTGATTAGTACCTTGATTTTTTTGTTAGCAAACTATTAGCAATTCTGTTTCCCTTCATAAATTATTTGATAATGAATACATTGATTCAGCATGCTCTAAAATTGCTTAAATGACAAGGAATAAATAGTCTTATCTTTCTTTGATACCTTTGTATTTACTTTGTACATCATAATTTGAACATTGAATATTTTATGAGAGTATTCTAATTGTTGAGTATAGAAATGTGCTACAGGAACAGTTAGAACTAACAAAGTGCTTTTGCTTTCTAACTTTTATTTGTGGATCTGTTTTCTAGGATTGCACAAATCCACGGTACTTAGCTGCTGGTTCTTCCAATGCTGTCAAGCTCAGTAGGTTTTTTGATAAGGTAATGGCTTCAATTAAGTTATTTTTAAACTTAATTTATATAAGAATTTAAACCCTTCCTAGAATGCTGTGTTCCTTTTTTCCCTCGTCCAAAACTTCACAGCCTGAACAATACCCGTTTTGATCTTCCTTATCTGTTGGGATAATTGCTCAAGGCCTGCTGACGTATTTATCTCCGTCACCAGCGTTCTCTAAGCAAAGAGTAAAAGCTACAGAATTTAAGTGGGGTTCTTAAGATACTTGGTTTCTGTCCTTAAAATAACTTATGTTTACCCATTTTCTAGCTCTTCGTGTACTTATTCATACTTCTCACCTCCAAAAAGGCAACAAATGGAGAAGATTCTGCTTAAAGACCTACATTCTTGTTCTCTCAGCTATTAGTATTCTCCATAGAAATGCCACTATTACTTTGTAAAGTTATGTTGTCTTCTTGATTCCTTAATGTTTCCCTATCAGAAACTTTTGCTATTATTGACTCTTTGCTAGCATCATCTTGTCACCAAACTAGAATGAAAACATAGAATGATTTAGCACACTGGTAAATTAGAGCACTGTTTGTCTTTCTTTCACAAGGCCATATTGGCTTACATTGCACATAGTATTGCCCAAGTTTAAGTTGTTTAACCCATGTTGACATTGCATAGTGAAGTAAAATAAGGTGTTTTTCTGCAAGTATTATTGAAAAAGATTAATTTCTATGTTAAGTTTCTTTTAAGTATAATCTAAGACAAATACTTCCCTCCTTATAGATTTTCTTTATGAATCATTTTTCTATTTTAACTATTTAAGGATCTAATATTTGGTCCTTTTTTAAATATGTCACAAGATAAAGTCCCACTACCTTCTGTGTTTAATATTAGTCCACTGGAAAAATTTTGCCTCAGTCAGAACTTCTTAATTGGGGTGTGGCAAATAGGGTACAGGTACACCCAATATTGATTCTCATAATTTTCAGAGCAGTCAGAGTTCCTAGGCTGGGGACTGGGATATTGGCAGTCTCTTCCATTTGTCCCAGGTGCTGTACAACTATTAGCATTTTCTAATTGTGCCACGACATGAAAAACATTGGGAAGCACTGCTTTCTCTCCATACTGTTTCAAATTTGAAGTTGTAGGAACTTCCAATTAGTTTAGGTCCATGTTCTCCACCTTGTAGAAAATTCTCTCCCCTAAAAGCAACATTTTATATATGTGTATCTGACTTGGAAAGGTCCCATCATATGTTACTTTAAATTTTTAATTATTTTTAAAATAAAAAAATATAATAAGTTATATCCTAGAGAAACAATGGATTTTAGACTGGCATAACCCAAGTTGTCATATAGGCTTTTTTAAAAAAAAATCAGGAGGAATTTGTTTGGTTTAAGAAAGGATCAATATTTGTAAGAGAGGACATTGCAAATTGGAGGTAAAGAATATCAACAAAAGCCAAAAGGTAACATCTTTCTTTGTTCGCTACATCTCAACAAAAGGTATGTCAATTTGGAAATTAGCCAGACCTCCACACTGAGATGGAGTTGCCTAAAACCAAGACACCTGGCAGTTAAATTTTTCCCAGTTTTCCGTATGTTAAGTCCTCCAGAATTTAGGGTCAAGACTTCTTTTTCCAAGAGGAAGTCTAATTCTTTCTCTAGACTCTTCTTGCCTATTAGTAATCCCACAGGATAAAGTATTCCTGTCCTGTCATGGAAACAGGAAAAGGCATGAATCCCTTTTTGGTTTTTGTGGGGTCACTGTTTTGAAATGTATAACTAATCAGGAACCAGCTCTTCTATCTCTGAGGCCAGTGAATGTGCTTTTACCTTGGGTCTCTTGTGGCTTAAAGTAACCTAGACATAGTCTCCAAGATAGAAAAAATCTGAATAGTGCTCTGCTCTCATTCAGAGAAACTCTTCATTTTCTAGATTTGAATGTCTTTGAGTTCATCTCCAGCTACCCTGTATTCTTATTTACTTATCACAGCAGCTCTGTGCAGAGAAAATAATACTGCCTCTGCAACCATCGCAGTTTCTCAAGTTTTAGAACTCAGTTTTTTTTTTTTAGAAAAAGAATTCATTCTGTTTGAAAAATGTTCTTCATCATTTGAAAACATGATGTTCTTCAACGCTTTACATTAGGGCTATATTTTGCAGGTTTCTTTTTAATAGCAGTGATGGATTTATATGGATGCATTCAGTGCTTTAATTTCTTTCATCTACTGACCAAATACAGACAGTCCTAAAATAATGAATTAAAAGTGCCAATGAAGATGATTAAGAAAGCTAATTGCTTTTGATATGTCATCTTTGTACATTAAGAATGTACAGAATTTTTCACTGTTTACTATTGGGATGTGGCATTTCACTGCCAACAGAGACCCCTCTTTAAGGAATAGCTATACTGTTGTAGTGGGCAAGTACTTTGATTTTATCTTATAGATTCTGTTTGGTACCTTTTGAGGCTAACTGCTAAGAAACTTAGCCAAATTTGTTGCCATACTGTAGGAATTGTATGGGATCTTGGACCATTCTGTCATTATTTAGTTTTTTTGTTTTTGTGTTTCGGGTTTTGGGGTTTTTTTTGGTTATTTTTGTTTGTTTTCTGTTTTGAGGCAGGGTCTCACTATGTAACATAGACTTGAATGAAACTCACTAAGTTGTCCAGACTAGCCTTTTTTTTATATAAATTTTTTATTAGAAAATAATCATTATACAGGGGAGATTCGTAGTAACAATTCTGATTAGACTTATATTGTACATTATTTACGTTGCCCACATTGTCTCTCCCCCTCTGCTTCCTCCCCACCCCACTTAAAGCAACTGCAAGAGGTTATTTGGTTCTGTTTCATATAGGTATTTGAAGTCCATCAACCATATACCATCACCTTAATCTCTCTCCATCACCCTCTTCCTTCCCACTAGTACCACCCCCACACATACCGTGCCTGTTTTTCAGTCCTGGTTTTTGTTATTAATATTTAAGTTAACGTTCAAAGGGGTGTCTCAATGTATGCCCTCCGTGGGTGTGCTTTACTTTGGTCTGTTCAATCCCTTCGAATACTCTCCCTTACCCCTTTACCTCCCTCCCCACCATTTTTCAAGTTTCCAGTACACATCCTTATATCTCTACCTTTACATCTTATGGTATGTGATATTACTGATGCTCTGTCATTCTCTTTTCCTTTCCCACTTTCCCCGAGTTCCATAGAGTAGTTCCACTGTTACAAACATTTGAGTTTGTATATGCTTGTTTTTGTATATATGTTTATCTTTGGCTCTATCTTCCCATATGAGGGAAAACATGCATCTTTTATGTATCTGATCCTGGATAACTTCACTTAGCATGATGCCCTCCAATTGTATCCATTTACCTTCAAACCCCATGTCATTATTCCTTGCAGCTGAGTAATACTTCATTGTGTATATGTACCACAATTTCATGATCCATTCATCAGATGTAGGGTATCTGGGTTGATCCAGAGCTTAGCTATTGTGACTAGTGCTGCAGTGAACATCAGTGTACAGGTGTCTCTACTGTATCCCATCTTACAATCTTTTGGGTAAATGCCTAGAAGCACTATCACTGGATCATATGGCAGTTCTATCTCTAGTTTTTTGAGCAATCTCCATACTGCTTTCCATAGTGGTTGTACTAAATTGCATTCCTATAAGCAGTGTATAAGGGTTCCTGTTTCGCTGCATCCTCACCAGCATTTGTTGTTGTTATTATCCTTGATTATGACCATTTTAACTGGGGTGAGATAAAATCTAAGTGTTGTTTTGATTTGCATCTCTTTTATAGCCAGGGAAGCTGTACCTCTTCCTTTGAGAATTCCCTGTTTAATTCATGTACCCATTTCTTCATTGGGGTGTTGATTCTTTAGGAGCTGGCCTTGAACTCTCAATCCTCCTGCCTCTGCTGCTCTAGTGGTGGTATTACAGAGGGCTGGGCTTACAGGTGCCACCATGCCTGGTTTATTTATTTATTTATCAATCACTCATGCTTTTTGGAATGAAGCAGGCTTTTTTGGAAATAGTTTCACAATTCCAGATTCATTAGCACCAGGCTTTAACTCAATGTACTCAATATCTATAGCTACTGAAAAAATTCTTAATTTGGACATTTTTTGTTTTTGTTTTTATTAATCTAAATTAATTATACAAAGGGGTTTCATTGTGATAGTTCCATATGTGCCTACAATATACTTTGTAATTCACCCCCTTTATTATGCTTTCCTAACCTTCTCCCATCCTCCCCCATTTTTAAACAATATTTAGTGGATTTCGTTGTACTGTCTTTATATATGTCTATACGATCATGTTCACCCCCTGGTATCCTTCCTTTCTGCCTCTCCACTCCTCTGGTTCTCTCTGCCATACAGTACCCCTTTTACACTCATGTCCCATTTTAGGCTTTTTTTTTTTTTTTAATAGAACTGGGGTTGAACTTGAAGACTTAGGGTTACTAGCCAGGCATGTTACCACTTGAGCCATGTCTTCAGCTCTTAGTTACTTTGGGGTAGGGTCTCATGTTTTTGCCTGGGCTGGCCTGGACCAATATCCTCCTATTTATGCTGCTAGGAGGTAAAAGACCTCTACAGCCAAGCCCTTAAAAATCTTTATTTGTCTCTCACAGGTCATAGAGAAGAGATACTTTTTAAGAGAAGGCAATCAGGTTAGTATCTATCTTCTCTTGATAAAGTGGGTTCTTAAATTTGGAGAAAGATGATTTCTAAATTTATTTTCAGAAGTGGTTTTAAAAAGTTGGTAAAAACCCTCTGTAGGCAGAAGCAACGTATTTTCTTCTTTTCTGTTAAATACAAAAGGAAAAATCAGAGCAAAGGTAAAATAAGGATCTTAGATACAAGAATCTAGGGATAAAGTTATATTAGAAAATAATAGAAGAAAACCATTTGCTTGAGACTTCAAAGGTTTATGTCCAGAGTCTATAACAATACAGGTAATTCATATAAAAGTCCACATGGTTATTTTACAAGTTTCACCTTCATTTTTCTGATTTAGATGCACTGTTACCAATTTTTTGGCAAATGTTTTCCGTTTTGGTAGAATTTTTTATTATTTAATATTTTATGGTTTTCTGAGGAAAGCCTCAGAAAGACAGGCTGGCATACAGAAAACAGAAAACAAAGGAAAAATTGTATTGGCATTTGAACTCTTCCTGCTTGAAACTTAATGTGACTTTTTTTTTTTTGTCTACAGATTCCAGGCTTTCCTGATCGGAAAAGATTTGGGGGAGGAATGTTCAAGAGCCTTCATTATGACTGAATATACTCATCCTTTTGAAGCGAGCAAACAGTGGCAGTTTTCGCAGCTTTCCTCTTGTTGTGTCAATTTTTAACACCTTAAAACATCTTATTAAGCATCTTAAAATGCTACCCTTTAGCCTCACCCTTCAATGAAAAAATGAAAGGAAGCGACAAAGTGGGAGGTCCAAACCCAAACTTTGTTCCTGTCCTCTGTGTTCCTCACCTCTCTTCTGTCCCTGTTTATAGATTGTATAAAAGCCTTGCGGAAATACGAGATTTTGTCACAATGATGCAGTAAATGAGCAATGACAGAGTACTGCAGAGAAAATTTGCTCTTGCCAGGAACTGAAGGGTTTTTATGGGTCTGTAATTTTCCCACACTCATTGCTGAAGGCTTAATTAAGTGCTTCAAAACTTTATCTCTGTTGTTTTACCTTCTTAAAGGGAAATGTTAACCAGTCCTGAGTTGTCCACCCCAAATAATCTCTGTCATTTTCAAAAGAAGCCAAATGGCGTTATTTAATTGTCTCTACCCTCATTACACACAGGAATGCCTAAGAATAGCAACCCTTGTCTCCCTCTTCTCTCCCTTACAAATGGCTTGGTGGCTAAGAGAGTTGGACTAATAGCTGTAGTTAAATATAAATAGAGATTAATAATACATAAAGAGCAGTACTATCAGAAAAGAAGAATTATGCAAAAAATTGACAGTTTCTTCACTCTTTAGGTTGTAACTGTCTGCAGTGTCTTACTCTTTTCCGTTTGGAAATAAGTAGGGTGAAATGCAAAACCTGCACAAGTGCTGTAAGAGAGATTTACAGCCTCTTTGATATTTACCTTTTTTAAGAAAATTTAACTCCTGAAATATCCCTTTAGCTATAGTCAGCAAACTAAGAATATGATTCTTATCAACAGTGTATTTATGGGAAAAAGTAATAATAAGTTCCACAGCAACACATTTAATGAATTATGAACCAGGATTGTTGGATTTCATAATCACTAAAAATTTTAGGGGTGTGTATATGCATAATTGTTCAACTTTTTTTTTGGTACTAATGCTGAACTCAGGAGCGCGTGCTTGCTAGCATTATCTGCCACTTGAGCCATTCCTCCAGTCCCATCATTAGTGTTTTAACCATCTTTTTTGCTTGTTTAATTCTCTTTGCCCCAGTTCTTCCTTAATATATAAACTGGTTTCAAAAACTATAATTTTCTACCACATTCAGCACCTTATATCTATATTCTCTTTTTCTCTCTGCTGCAGATAATCTGCTCCCCTAATTTTGTTCCATATTAGAAAAGTAAGAATAATAAATACACAGTTTCAATTCTTATTTTAAAATGAGATAAACACTAAATTCATTTTCTGTGCCATTTTAATTAAATTTTGGAAGTACTTTAAAAGTCAAGATATTCTGAAAGAGGATATTAAAATAAGAATGTTAGTGAGTACTTTTGGAAAAACAGTCTTGAGAATTTGAAAAGACATTTTTAAGGTACTTTTCATTAGCTGAGCTATTATCCGGTCTTTCTTCACTTCCTCACTGGTTTCTCTTTTGACATGGAGCTATGTAAATCATTATCTGTATGTGGAATTTGGCACAAGTATGGGAATATAGTTCAATGGTAGTGCACTTGTCTGGCCTGTGTGAGGTCCTGGATTTGATCCCCAGCACTACAAAAATAAAAGATTAAATTAAAATTTTAAAAATAAGCTAAAACCCATTCTTTCCCTCTCCTTTCTTCCTTTTTTCTTTAATTAAAAAAAATCCATCCCAAATTTATTTTCCCCTTTATTAAAAAATATAAAAGTGGACTAGGGTTATAGCTTAGTGGCAGAGTACTTGCCCTGGGTTAGTTCCCCAGCACCAAAAGAAAAAAAGTAACCAATTAATGATGATGCTAGGGTCAATATTGAAAAATTAACAGTATTCCTCAACTCCATGTCTTCTTGCTACCAATTTAATTCTCTTAATTATAGTTTTCTAAGAAAAAAATAATATATTATCTAAGGTAAATTTGCTGCATTTTTAGCAAAATAAAGGTATTTCCCAAAATGAATTTTATTGGCCAGACTTCTTCAAAAAGAATGTTTTTGAAGTATAGTTTTTAAAGAATTAGTCATAAAATTGCTATTAGATGCTAAACAAGTATAAATACCAAAATAGTTCTTTAATGTATTAATTACTTAAATCTAAATTTTCTTACCTGCTTGATGGGTCAAATTGCTATCAATAGAAATTTTTTTCTCCCCTGTATAATTTAGAGTTCTAAACCAACTTTCTCTCTCATTGTAGAGGTAACCAGGCATATAAGAATTCATCTGTCCCTCAGGTGCTCAATACCCTTGGCTGGAATTCAATTATGGATTTGAACTGCTGTCTTCATCTTAATGCTGATGGGTTTTAGGACACACTTGCAAAATGTTGCACCTTGGCATTTGAGAAAACAGCAGAAGCAGGAAGGTCAGTCACATCTCCCACTTGGCCCTGCTATCCTAAAGCAACTATAAAAACTAGCTGACTTTCCCATAAGGGAAAGGTCACAAAACCTTTATTCCAGGTATTCTCCCTACACTCAGAGGAAAGAACTTCCTTGTTCTCAAAAACAGAGATACCAAGAATCTGAACCAATAGGCCTTACCTATTTGTTCATTACCATTAGACACGCCCTTCTGTCTTCCAGTCATGTTTCTGCACAACTGTCCTGTAAAAATACACAGGTTTCCCCATTGTAATAGGCACCTCAGCCATGACTTTAGGCATAAATGAGAAATCTCTCTTCCCCTACAGTGCTCTAGGAAAAACTATTCCCAAAGGGATTGATCCATACTAGATTTAGCTCAAGTTCTCAGAATTCCCCATATTTGAGGCATTCATGGTATAATTCACCTGACCCACACTGCTGCTTTTGTGTCCATTTTGAAAATGGACTTCCTGGAACTGATGTTCTGGGCTATTGGATTGAGATGAAGAGCTCCTAATTGCTGCCATCATCAGTGTTTTTAAGTTTCAGTGGTGTGTCTATTAGCACCCAACGTAAGTAGGGCTTTGTATGGGTATTTAATAGATGGTGGTTTAATTGAGTTTTTAAAAGCCCAGGTAGCATCTTATTATAAGAAGTTTGGAGGTCTGACAGGATGTCTCTTATTGATTTAATACCTATTAAAATTCAAAGGAGGATACTGTTTGGGGTGAAAAGAGAAAAAGTTAAAAATGCATTTCTCTGTTGTTGCAAGACTGAGCTAAATCACTGCAATGGGAGAGGAAAAGTTCCAGGATCTCAAATATTCCACAGTATGTTTGCCCATGCAAGATATGTGGGGCAGAACTTGCCAGGTCAGCTCCATCATGTAGAAAAAAGATGTGACTTCCAGTTATAGTTAATCTGCACCTCCATTTAAAAACTCAGATCAATTGCTTTCTACTTGAAAGTGTATAAAAATCTCCTGAAATGCTGGTCTAAAAATGCAGATTCTAGGATTTCATCTCTGCCCCCTCCCCTGCCCCCAACCTGATTCTATATATTTGCAATATGGCTGGGATTTTATTTATTTACTGGCAGTACTGGGTTTGAACTCAGGGCTGAGCACTTGCTAGGTATGTGCTGTACTGCTTGAGCCACACCTCTAGCCCTTTTTCTCTGGTTACTCTGGAGATAGAGTCTTGCTTTTTTTGCCTAGGCCAGCCTGGGCTGCAATCCTGTTTTACACTTCCTGCCGTCACTGAGATATCAGGTGTGCGAAGCTTTTTACTTTTGAGATGGGGTCTCAGCTGTCTTTGAACTACAGTCTTACCAAATCTCAGCCTCCCAAGTAGCTAAGATTACAAGTGTGAGCTACCTGTGCCCAGTTTAGGAATAGACATACATCCACACGTACATATTTTTTTGCAGTACTAGGGTTTGAACTCGGGACTTTGCACTTGCAAAGCAAGCACTCTACTGCTTGAGCCACGCCTCCACTCCAGGATTTTATATTTTTTGACAGGCAAACTAAGTGATTCCCATGAAGGTATTCAGGATCTGGTGCTCTGAAAGACTAATAAACTCATAAAAAATACATAGATCGTAGACTCTGTACTTTATAACCAGCAGTATAACAGTTCATCTTTGGTTGCCTTTATATGAGCTCACCTTGGTAAACTGATATATTTCTGCCCTCTCAAAGCCACATAGGCCAAGGTGAACATGAGGTCACACCACCTATTGGCAAAACAAGAAGTATTTGTCTTTAGTGTACTATCATTTTTGTTGCTACCACTTCTTTCCATGTATAGCTGTTTCTAATGCAAAGATAGCTATTTCTAATCAGTGCCTTGCCATCTTATACATACCTCCTCTCTTATGCCATGTTTGTTTTCTCAGCCGGTTAGTTACAAAAGACCAGCTTTACCAAGGTTGTCAATAAGTAATGATGAAGAACACAACCTCAAAACTCCAACCAAGGTGTAATGCCTTGCTTAATGCTATCTTTTTCTTAGAGAGATCTGTGCTGGAGTCTGTATCCTCTAATCCCATCCCGGAGTGATTGCTCTGTGAGCAACCACTCTACTTCTCATGACCCTATAACAATCCCCAGCTTTCTGGAAGTAATGTTTTCCATTTTCATGGTGAGGTGTCTTCAAATTGGGATAAGTACATTTAAGCATAGATAATTCTAAAGGAATCATTTTCCAGATCCCTAATTTACATTTGTATCTATTTTAAAACTGAACTACTTATGAATGCAGCTCAATACTAGTTCTCGCTTCCCACCTCTACTTCCATACTCACCCTTTTCCACTGCTGAAAAGGAACAACTCACTTGTAGTACAATAGTACTATGGCATATTGCCCTAGGGTGTAAATGTCTTCCAGATGCCAACAAAAGGATAATTCTAATGTTTGTTTTATTTAAGGACTTTGCCTGTCCCCATGATTATTTTTAAGCATATATAATATGCATATATGAAAATGTCACAATGAAACCCATTATTCTGTACAATTAATGCATACTAATAACAAAAGACAAGATCTGAAAATATTAAAAGGCAGTCAACAATTTTTAAAAAAATAAAAGCAGTACTCCTCAAAGCAAAGAGAATTTGGTAAGAAATAGCCAAGGTTGTGGCACATTCTTTTATGACAAGACTTTTGTCTGGTCTACAAATATGAAAAAAAAAAAACCCTCAAAAATGACTATACAAGTCATGCTTGGTGGTACATGCCTATAATCCCAGTACTCGGAAGGCAGAGGCAGGAGAATCAAGTTAGAGGCCAGCCTGGGCTACATAGGAGGCCCTATCTCAAAGAAATAGTTAAAAAATTATTAGGCAGAGGTATAAAAAAAATAGCATGTTTATTTCCCCAGTCCTTGATGAGTAAATGAGTTAGGTAAAGTACCTCTCAGTGAAAGTGTAATGTTTAATTAAAGTAAATGATTCCAACAGCTGGGTAATAAAGCCTTTTTCACTCAGGTTTCCAATTATTTCAGCACAAAGAAGAATCTAATTGAGTTGCTCACTTATAGATAATTAAAATCCTATTTCCAGAAAAAAAATTATCTTTTGTATTTAATAATTATCCAAATGTATAATATCTACAGAACACTGTCCTAGAGAAGATTCCTCCAGTCTCAGATCTGGAGAGTGAAACAATTGCTGATAGCTGTCTGGAAATGCAATGAGAGAAGGCTGAAGGGTTTTTGTTTCTGTTTTGAAACAGGATCTTGCTCTGTTGCCCAGGATGATCTCAAACTCCTGGGCTCAAATGATCCTCCAGCCCAGCTTCAGCCTCCCCAGTAGCTGGGACCAGAAGTGCACACCATAGCATTCAGAAGGCTGGAGGTTATCACCACTTACTGCTCTTGTTTTTGGTCCTACCCCCACTGCCTGTTGTCTGAGAATTTGGACTTTTACTCTGGAGCTTCTAAAGGGTAAAGCTCCTGTCTTGTGTTGTAGGAATCTGTGAGAGGCAGACACCTGCTCTCCCTGATTCCTGCTGCTTTTCTACTTCTCTGCCTTACATGTTCCCCATATTGGTTCACCAAATCCATCTTGTTCGGCCTGGCTCTAGCCACTTTGCTTTGCTGCTCACTATGTTGATACACTGTGACTGCTTTGCTTCAGTATGCCTTTGGCTTCTCCCTACACACAATCTACTCCTTCTGAGGGTATCTCTTAGGATGCTAATGATCCTGTCCAGGAGGTCACCTCTGTTTCCCCTGCTTCAAATGCCTGCCAAAACTCCCCTTCTGGAAAGGCTTCCCTAACTAGCCCCCTCCACTCTGCTAAGTTTAGTCACACTACCCTAAACACAATATACTGGATGCACTGCACTTTCACTTTTCTGACTTTGTACACACTGTTTCCTCTGCACACGCCCTGTTTTATTGTTTTGTTTTTGTTTTTACCTCAAACCCTGTCTATCCAACTCTCATTCTATGTGATGTGGCTTAGTTGTCATTTCCTCTGGGAAGCCGTCCCTGCCCCTGCTAGTCTGGGCTAGGTGCCCCTTCTCATGACACCCTGGGCTCTTCACTGTCTCAACATTGTTGTAATGGTCCTCAAAAATTGCTAATAAATGAATGAATGGGTACTAACATTAATTAAAATGGAAACCCACTACATGTTTTCCACTGTTTTCTTATTCTCATATTATCCTCTTGATGTACAAGACCTGGCACATAGTAATTTTGAAGCAAATACTTGTTTTATTCAATCGTTGTTGCAAAAATAGAAAAAGGTGGGATATAAGCACCTAGGAGGAATCTCTAAAGTCTGGTAATAGGTTAATTAAGATTTAAATCTTTTCAGGCCCAGTCAACAATCTGTTACCGCTTTCCTACTCCTTCAGAAGTCTTTCACACCTTAAGAAAGAACTGAAACACCTCTTAAATTTGCCTTCAAAACTGGCATGGTAGAAAGAACACAGAAAGTTTATGGGAAAACAAAGCAGTAAAGCTTTTCCTTTATCTTTTATTGACTTCTGTTCATTTTTTCCTTCTTTTTGGAACCACCATTGTCCAAAATCAATAGAGATTCAAGACCCAAGATACTCATAAACTCCGATATGTAAAAGATATCTTCCTTGAGTTTACCTTCTACTTTGAGTCTGCATACTGCACAGATAGTGAAGACTTAGCCTCAATACCACAGGGGCCTCCACCCTTGCTTTCTCCCAAGTTTTCATATAAATTTCAGAAATGCTAACATAATACCACAATGTCATCTGTCTATGCTGACTTATGCTGAGGTGTCCTGTAAATTGCCTGTCCACAGGCATCAATCCACACGTATGTTACTTGTTTTTGTCATCATGGCCCCTTTAGTCTGGCCCTCTGTGAGGAACACCTCACTCATAGACAAATCCTCCTGCTGCTACTACAGTATGCTATAGCCTGAGGGCCTGAAGGTCGCTTAGACCCATTATATCTAAAGGTGAGGGTCTCAAATGGGCAGCCTGTAGCCATTTCAAACCTGCACATGTTTTTTGACTATAAGGTTGAATCATTTATCACTGCTTAACAAACTACCCCAAAACTTACTAGTGTAAAATATGCCATTCTATTAGCTCACAATACTTGGTCAGCCATTTGGGCTGAGTTTAACTGATGGTTATTCTGTTGACCTCAACTGGGATCAAACAAGTATCTGCAGTTACCCAGCTGGCAGCTAGATTGCCTCCTTCATATGTGTGGTGGATAGTGTTGGGCTGATGGGTATCCCCTGGACCCCTAGAGGCTAGTATTGCTTCTTTGTAAATTGGTCTGAGGCTACAGGAAATGGACAATTCTTAAGGAACAAGCACTTTTCAAGCCTCTGTGTCATGTTTGCTAAGATTCAAAGAAGAAAAGTCTCCATCTCTCCCTTTTCTTTTGGCTCTGTGTAGCCCAGGTTAACCTGAAGCTCTCTTTCCTACCTCAGCTTCTTAATGCTGGGATTACAGAAGTCTACCACCACACCCAGCTAAGACTCTCTTGAAGGGAGAAACAACAAAGCCACATTCAAGGGAGCACAAGTACAAGATAGAAAGAGTTCCAGCTTTTTGATGTGTGTGTGCAATTTACTATATTTCTTCATTCTGCCTTCTCTCCCTCCCTCCTTTTCCTCCTTCCTAGGAGAATCCTGACATGTCCTAAGTCAAATTATAGATCAGAAAATAGAGGAGGAAGAGAATGAAGCCATTTTAACATTTCATGGTTAATCAACAAAGAAAAAGAAAAAAACTCTTCTAAATTCCTCGCCTGAGTGCTGAAGATCATCCCTGAAGGCCACATTGCATTCCAGTTTTGAACCATCCAATAAAAGATTACACACTCTTTTTTACATAAATAGCAAAAACTCTTTATGGACTAACCTCCTATCCTAGGACCTTGCTCACTTCATGTTGTCCTGCCCCTCTTATTAGTGTAGGTTCAGTGTAAACAGTTTATGTTTTATTATAAAACAACCTAACCCTTTAGGTCCTGTGGACATCTTTCCAACTGCTTTCTAGCTATGCTGGTGGTAGCTAGATTCTAGAACCAGTCCTTCACCTTTTGACTAGCATCTGTGCAGCTCAATAAACCCTTTATTTTCAGAGCTCTCAATCTCAAGAGTTTAATATTCCCATTCTTTTGCCAATGTTTAACAATTGGAGCTCTGAGGCCTAGAGGTGGGGCTCAAATGATAAAGTGCCTAATAAGCACAAGGTCCTGAGTTTAAATCCCATACAGCACACACACACACAAAAAGTGGAACTTCATTTTATCATGAAAAATCACCTAGACTACTTTTCTCATTTATAGTGCCCTCCTGGTCTGTTGCCTTTGAGCTTGTGAATACAGCTCCCACTACAAAATTTTTTTTTTAAATTAAATGAGATAATGTGAGAAAACCTGCCACAAGCAAGCACTCAATTTATGTTCCTTACTGAACATCACTAGCCAAGAAGTTGCTACCTTCCAATGACTAAGTAGAGTCACCAAGATGAAGCGTAGGAAAACCCTGTAGAAGAGAGCTGGAGACTAAGCCCTTGGTCTGACTTTAAAGGGATTAAAACATTACGAAACAAAATTCTTAAAGGCTTCTGAAGAAAACTAGTCCATCTTCAGGCAGCTCTGTGGAAATACGTGGGTTAGATCACAGTTCATTTCTCACTGCTCTTTAGGGTGATCTGAACACTCTGTCCTGTTCATTACTTCTTGACCTGAGCTAGACAGTGAGACTCCTCTGCTACATCCAGCACACACTAACTTCCAAGTTCCTTTGCCCGATAGCTTTAAATTCCCTGCCTTTTGTAAGAAGCTTCCTTCTTTTAAGTGGAACAATTAATGGCCAATATTTACCTCAGGTGAAGAGGAACCAGACCTCTGCAAACTCTTTTAGAAACAACCTGGGTTTAATAAAAAAACAAAAGCAGTTGTGTAAGAAGTTTAGCTATAAACTTGCTGTACTTTCTCCTTTGTATCTCAGTTAGGCAATTCTTCTGGCTACCTGAGTGACCTGTTGACCAAGGAGAGATAGTGAAATAGTGGGAACAAAAACAGCCAGAGAGTGAAACAGAAGCATTTTGGCTTCATACTCTCTCTGGCCTGGGTTTCTTGAAGTCATCACACTTGCAGCTGAAGAATGGCAGAGTTGAAGGTAAGAAACCATCTGGCTGGGGCTTGGATTAAGACCAAAGGATTTGGCTAGGGATGTAGCTCCATGATAAGAGTTATGTGCTCAGTATGTGTGAATCCCTGGGTTCCATCTGCTCCACACCAAAGGGAGGAGCTTCTTCAGTTTCTGAGGACTCCTGAGTGTCAGAGTTGAAACGGACTTGGAGGGGGACCTGGTCCAAACCCCTGTGTTTAGAGGCTTCACCATAATGTCTGTGAGCATGGCTGGGACTAGGGATACAAGAATAGGTGATAAAAGAAAGAGATATTGGCCATCTCCTGCTTTTCTCATTTCAAATATTGTCTTTGGGGATCTGTGGACATCCTAAGGGCTTCTTTCCATCATGGACCCCTCTACTGTCAGACACGGTCCTTTAGCTGCAGATTCCTGGACTGCTTTAGCCAGCCAATCAGATATGCTTAATCTAGTCAGTTATTTTGAGGCTCAGAATCAGCGTTAGTCAGTATAAGAACTAGTACCATCTTGGGGAAATAATTCTTTCCCTATATTTAGCACACAATTGAAAAGTATGAGTGGGTTATTTACTATTAGGTGCTAGGTACTTTAACTATGAATTACTCATGTTGTAATCCTCACAATAAATGTAGGATGTAGATACTCTTGTTTCTATTTCTTCCAGTAAGGAAAGCAAAGCTCAGAGAGACTAATTGACTTGCTTAAGATCACTGCTGGTAGGTGGCGGAGACCACACTAGAACTGGGTTTGTCTGAATCCAAAACTCAGTCTCAAAAAAGTGCCTTCATGTCATGGAAAGGAGTGTGTCCCCAGTGTTTAAAACCATGCCTAGTACCTAGCCCATGCTTGTGTCAGTGCCCAACACATACAAGTAGAACTGCATAGAATAGCTAGAACCTTGACTCAAGACTGGGTGGGCCATACCCCTCCAGGTTTTTTCCCAGAATGCAGCAGTTGAAAATTGCTTCAGGCACTTTGCAGAGATGATTCAAAGCCTGGTTGGCACAGCCTCCCCATGGGGTGCCTCCAAGGAATTCTACAGCTCTGTGAAATAGAGTTCCAAAGCCACCAGGGTAGATGACATGAATTTAATATAATGATATTTAATATTCACACAAATCCTACATGTAATAATCTAGAAGTTTGTTCAAAAAAAATTTTTTTTTTCTGAGACATGATCTCACTACATATCCCAGGCTGTCCTCAAACTTGCAATCCTCCTGCCTTGGGCTCCAGAGTACTGGGATTACAGGTATGCCCCACATTTATTCTCAAAAACATATACAACTACCACTTTAAAACTCACTTTTACAAGTAGAATACACACTTTCTGATTCTTCTTGTCTGGGATGACCATGATGACAGGACACTGCACTCTAGCCAACCATGGTTTGCAGGCAGCAGGTTCCCCTAGCACAGTGCATATCAGGGGTTGTTTTGTCAAGTAAAGCCTGCCATAAAATTCTGAGTGGATCTCTGGTTCTACAGGTTTTCATCCTGCCACATTCAGCCCAGTGACAGAACAGGCTTGCCACCACAAGTTTGTAGGATCTCATCCCTATGTAAGAAGGAGAAAATTCAATCTGCCAAACAAAAGCCAGTTATGCCACAGGCTACAGAAACATGGGAAGAAGTGAGGTCTGCCCCTCCAAGAATTCAGCAAACAGATGCACAAGACAGATGCACCCCAGTATCAGAGAAGTATTCTGAACACCTACAAATACATTGAAAAAAACTTCATTATTTTGTATGAAATAGTACAAATTCTAATATGTAGGATATTTGTTTACATATAAATCAATGCATTCTAAAGCAAAATAATGGGAGATTAACCAATATATTCTGATTAGCCTTTATATAAATAAACTGTCCCATGATTGATAATGTACTTTGTCCATTATACTGGTTTATAATTTTCTTAAGAAAGATGTAATTAGTTTTTGAGCATGTAGTTACTTTGCAAATTTTTATTTTTTGCTTACTAACATTAAGCTTTCTCCATTTTCAATGTGTACATCCTTTAGAGAAGTGTCTGAATAAAATTTTAGATAAAATAAAAAGAAAATTGCTCCAAAGCCTTTCAACTGATGTTGAGTTTGAAGAATCAAACAGCTCCCTTATTAAAAGGCATCCTGGAAACACTCAACACCAGAGTAAGGAGCTGATTTCTTTATCTGTATGCCTGTCTAAGTGTTAACTCTCATTCTTTCATACAGCAAATATCATGTCTAGTGTATAATACAATGAGTTAATGTAGGATAGGAAATGACTCTGGGCTAGATAGAGTTAAAAGGAACTTCCTGAAGGAGAGTGTTCTTGAGAGCAAAGTAGGCCTTGGTAGAGTGAAAAAAGATGGTGCCAGAGGAAGCAGCATGTACAAAGATACAAAATATGCAGAAAGATCCCTGCATGCTCTAGTATTCCAGTGTTTTAGCCAAACTTTTGTTGCCAGAGGGACAGACAAATGAATATATCCAGGAAGTGGTTGGATGTATTGATCTAGATCTCAGGGGAGTGGGAGGGCAAAGGGAATAGATACAGGGTAATCATGCTAATGGCAGTAGTTGAAGTTTTGACAAAGGAGACAGAAAACTTTATTTTCTGATAAATTTCAGCAGGGGTTGGTAACATCCCTACCATTTGTAAATAAATCATATTTAAAATCCTATCCTGCTGCAGTTTTTAAGCAACTTATTATTCAAAGCACCACCACACTAATGTAAATTGTATGCTAGTCTTTGTTCTTTCAAAGGCATTCCCAGCCTGCTGTCTAATCTTTAGAAGAAAAGGTTAGTTCCAGAGGTCAGGAATCTAAACACAGAAAGGAAGGTTGCATCATATCCATTCTAATCAATAAACATTATGCAACTTTTAAAAAACGTGTCTCATCTTTTCCCCTCCTTTTAATGGCTATGCCAACACAAAACCTCAAACAAAACCACATTTACATAAAAACACATCTGAGGAAGAAAATTCAAAAGAAAAAATAATAAAATTAAATTGAAAATGTACTACCCTATGTTTTTGTGTAAGTCACTTCACTTCTCCAAGCCTTGCTTCCCTCATTTATAAAATGAAAAGCTGGTTTTACATGCAGACTCTGCTCCTGCCCACTAGCTTTGGGTCTGAAATTATTCTAATGATTACCCAGAGATGGAACCACCTGCCCTACATAATTAGTTTCCTTTTGCTACTATAACAACCACAAATTTACTTGCTTTAAACAACACAAACTTACTCTCTTATGAACTATAAGAGTGTAAGAACTATAAGAGAGGTCAGAAGTATGAAATCAGTTTCACTGGGGTAAAATCAAGGTGTCAGCATGGCTGGTTCCTTCTGGAGGCTCTGTGGGAGAATCTGTTTCCCTGTCTTCTCCAGCTTCTAGAGGATGCCCACATTACTTGGTTTGTGGTCCCTTCCTCTGTCTTCAAAGTACATCATTCAGATCTGCTTCTGTCATCACTTCACCTTTTCCTCTTCTGCAGTCATATCTCCCTCTCTTCTGTCTTAACCTGTTAACTTGTAATTGGGTTTAAAGTGCACCCAAATAATCAGGAATACCCCTTTACTTAATTGCATCTACAAAAGTAAGATTTTTCTGGTGTTTTAGGCAACGCTCTCAGGTACCAGGGACTAAGACATATCTTTCAGGGCCATTATCTAGCATATAGTAATAGTCTGCAAGTTTCCCTAACAATCTATACTCTGTTTTCCTTTCAAGGTTAACTAAAAATACTAGACTCTGCACAGGAAAAATAGGTAGAAGTAGCTCCATCTCTACCCTGACTTTTCTCTCTTTCCTTCATGACCAGTAAAAGGAAGTGAGGTGTACCATCTGCTCATCCCATCAGGTGTTACCTAGACTCTGACTCAGGAGAAAACACCTCATAAAACTACTCTGACAAGTTAATCATATCCTGGAGGCCAGATGAGAATTAAAAAGCTGTATGCTAGTGAGCAGCCAAAGAACTGATGGTACTAAAATCACATGGACCTCAGTAATTTATTCTTTCATTTAGAAAGTAGGCAAATAATTCTCTTGGAAAGAAATAAAATCATATTTTTATGTAGAATCAAGTTATTCAGAAATCTGAACTGAAGAAAACACATAAACATACTTGCTTAACATCAGATTTTATTTATTTCATTTTTGGATAAGGTATATCTTAACATAACCACTGAACCAGCTGGAGTTGAGTGCTTAAATTTTTCACAGCTGAAGAAAGCACAGTTCAGATTCTGTCCTCAAAGCTGTAAGAAGGCAGCTGCAAAATACAGTCTCCTCAATTCAGTTGCCTTTAGCAGTAAGAGACATGGCATTTTAAAGCTCTAATAAACTCATCTGTAATTTTGCTCTCAGAGATTTAGGAAAAACAACCAAGTCAATAGTGACTCAGCAATTTCCACCCTCCTCTAGAGCCAGCATACTAAGATGGAGACATGGACTCAGAATTCACACCTTCTCAGAGCCTGGGTGGCTTCCTTCCAAACCACCAGCTGTTCTCTCTGCTTTCCTTTCTTTTTCTTTTTTTTTTTTTTTTAGAGCATACCCTAACCAAATGCTTCAAAATCACATATACTAACTCTTATTTTTCCATGTGCCAAACACACATATAGCTTCTGTTCTGAGGCCAGCAGTTGCAAAAAATGGGGAAGGTTAATGAGCAAATCCACCCGGGCCTGCCAGAAACCTCAGCTGATCTGGGCAGCTCTCAAATCTTCCTTCATCCTTACAGATATGAACAATGCAGCAGCTGCACAAAGGGCAGGCACTATAATACTCAGTGGCTTCAATCACAGGCTGGCCTAAAATTCCATTTTACAGAATTGAAGATAATTTGGGGTCATTACTGATTCCCAGCAGTTTGAATTCAGTCCTATTGATGGTGAGCTTGAGGTTCATTTTGAGGGAAGAAAATTGTATTCCATGGAGAAACAAGATATTGGATGGCCTCTGCCATTTCCCCAAAGATGGCTGCGGTTCCAAACTGCTTGATGCTGCTGTGAACAAATGTGGTTATAATATAGCCTGCTGGAATTTTTGTGTGTGATGATAAATTTTCAAACAGACAAAAAATTATGGGGGCTGTTGCTGTAATTCAATGGTAGAGAGCATGCTAACAGGCATAAGGCCCTGGGCTTAATCCCCCAGTCCCCAACCCCATACCCTCCTCGCCACCCCCCCCCAAAAATATGCCTGAAGGCAAAAGAATAATTTTACTTCCATTGCTTTCTAGGTCATAACATTTCACATTTCATATTCCTTCCAAATATAGACACTGATCACTCACACAACCAGGCGTGTTACATATAACTCATCCTTTCCCATGCTGCCAAGAACTCTGGAGGCCCTACCCTCCACCCACATTCAGCCTTCTTATATCTCTTAAAGAGCTGTGCTCAGATGGTGGCATTTCAATCACCCAGTAAGTCTTCACTCTCCTTAGTCTGGTCTAAAATCAATTGGTGTTTAAGTTAGAGCAAAGAGGGTTCTAATCCTACTTACCACAGCAAACATACTAATAGAACTGGCTCCAAGTGGAAACTGGATAGCTTCCATGGGCCAAAGTTCAGGGTACACGAGGTAAATAAAACTGACTTGGTCTCAGCCTTCATGAAACTTATGGGAGAGCAAAGAAGCCGGACAGACCTATGACAAGAGTGACTTGTGTTAAACATTGCAAGAGTAAGTCTCAAAAGGACTGGGGCATGGTTCAAGTGGTAGAACATTTGCCTAGCAGCACAAGGCCCTGAGTTCAATCCCCAGAACCATACTAATAATACTAATACTAATAACAGTAATAATACTAATGTCTCAATTCACACTTGCTGAGCAGGAGCACCAAAATGCTGCAGAATCTGCTGGCTCTTCATCAAATTGCACAGAGGATCATGGTACTGTCTCATGCAGGCATTTTGAAAATAAAGTTCAGAGAAACAAAAGCTATTTCAGGAGGATAATGAAATTCCAATGCATCTAGAGAGTAGTGAAACTTGATGCCATCCTGTATAGAGCTACCATAGTTCTTACAGTTGGTGGAACAGCATATGCCATGTGTCAGCTGGCTATGGACTCGTTTCCCAAGCATCAGGATTGACTTAAAACTAGCAATCCTTGTTCCATTTTATTCAGTTCTCTGTGGACCAGTAATCTGAGAAACAGCAGAGCTCTTCTTTGGGGATCAATATGTATTGACTTATACCAACTGCCACCAACAAATCATTCTTTTACCATAGAGGGAAAAAAAAGTAAATGTCAAGGGATCCCCATAATTTACCTTGTTAAGAAACTTGTTAAAGTTTTCCTAATGGATATAGAGCTAAGAGATGGCAAGAACAGTAGCTTCACTGTTCCATTCTGAAAAAGATTCTGGGCTGGCACATTTACTGAAAGCCACCCCTATCTTAAACTTCCTTTTCAAGTATCCACACAGGTACAAATACATATACAAGTGCTCCATAGATGAGCCAGATGACATAGGCTTCTTCCTGCAGCAAAGCTAGTTTGGAAAGAGCTCTCTGGCAAGGATTTTACTGTCAGTTTAGGTAAACACACCTCTTCCAAGTTGCTTTTTTTTTTTTTCAAAGTTAGGGAAGGGGATTGGAGCCCCAGGGAAGTTGTAATCTAGGTTCAGCAAGATCCTACTAATCTTGAGTTGGAATTCACAGATGGAACCAGAAATGAAAAGCATGTAGCTGGGTGCCTGTGGCTCACACCTGTAATTCTAGCTACTCAGGAGGCAGAGATCAGGAGGATCATGGTTCCAAGTTAGCCCTGGGCAAATAGTTCACAAGACCCTATTTCAAAACTATCCAACACATAAAAGAATTGATGGAGTGGCTCAAGTGGTAGAACACCTGCCTAGCAAGTGTGAGGCCCTGAGTTCAAACCTCAGCACTGCCAAAAAAAAGAGAAAAGTTTGTAGATAGCGTAGGATCAATAAAAACAAGCCTATAAAACCAACCAAGTACATGCAGCTAGGGGTAGAGAAGTCCATGCAATATCCAGATATCCAGCATTATTCTTCTGATTAACTGCAAGTCTTTAAAATTCACACAAAGCATATTGTCTTTCCTAAATGACTCACACCCAAGACGTAGAAAAGATATTACATATGAAACATCATACACAAACATATGTCCACATAGAAATCATTACCTGCATAGATTGCCAATATTATGAAATGCACTTTAATTCCTGTTAATGATGGCATTTGTGTGTTTGTCACATGTAGTACCTTTCTGGATTTGGGAACGAATGTGCTTCAGAGGACCCTCGCTGTCCAGGTTCCCTGCCAGAAGGACAGGTAAGAGTGAATGGAATGCTTAGAGACCTCTGAATGCTTGGAGACCTGCATGACTAGCTCTCAGGTCCAACAAGGCTTTTCTAATTTGTCAGGTGAACTGTCTAGGAGTTTCGCAAGTCATTAGGACAATTGGGACACAGAACAATGACAATGAAAAGTTTAAAATTAGATTGGTAGTTACCTATGACAAAGCTCCCAACCCAAATTAGGAAGATTAACTGTTGGACTTTCAAGAGGTGCCCCCAAGTAGAGGGTTCAGGAGACTTCCTGGTAGTTCCCTCAAATAGCATAAGATATGACAATGATGAGAAAATAAGTTACTTTAGAAATGTGTAATAAAGACATTCACACCAGGCCCTATGCCCTTTTGAGTAGTGGCCTGCCATCATCTGCCCTTTTAATGATGTCCTAATAAATCTTTGTTTTCCCTAAAAAAACAAAAAAAAAGAAAAATGGTATTCACACCAGTGTTGGTTATAATAGCAAAACTATAGCAAACAAAAGTTTTTTTCAAAACTTTTTAAAGAATATTTCATGGCATGAAAAATGCTAATGATACAATGTTTCCTTTAAAAAAGAATGTTTCAATTATTATAGGATCACACATTCATGAGATTCCCATTTTGAGAATGAAAATGGAAAGAAAGATGCTAACATATTAACAATGGGTTATTTCTGGTTGGTATTATAATGATATCATATGTTTTATATATCCTCTACAATAAGCACAATCAAGGGAAAATCACAGTAAAACTTATGTGAGTATATGTGGATTGGCTGCGGTCATGTGCAGTGGCCCAGAGTGTTCCCATACAGGACACAATTCTCCCTGATTTGGTTGATAGAAGGTAGGATGCTTTCTGTATAGAAGTAATTTTGTTTATTACCTCCTTTGTTTTAGAATAATCCTCAAGTCTGCCCCTACAATCTGTATGCTGAGCAGCTCTCAGGATCAGCCTTCACTTGTCCACGGAGCACTAATAAGAGAAGGTATAAAGACTGGATTAATTCTGACCTGTGGACTGCAGGAACTATGGCCAGAACCTTATGATGTCTCCTATCTAGTTCCTAGCCTTCCAGGACTACCCAAAGTCCATCTGGTGTACTGTGTTTTGGTCACAGTCTGGCATGACTGAGACTTGTCCCCATCTGGAATCAAGGGACTAGTCGGAAAGGGTGAGGGAACAGCTACATAGAGCCTGGAAAACACACAAGTCCAGTTCTGCTTACAAATTCTCACCAGGACTCAGAAGGAAATATTTCTCATACTCTGGCTTTCCTCCAAAGATTTCTCCAGTTGAGTTTTGGTCTTTGATTAACTTGATTTGTTTTTAGTGCATAGAGATTAAGTTACAATTGGAGAAGATTCAGAGCAATTTCTTACTCAGCTGACTAGGAGCATTCTTTGTGTGAAAATGGATAATCCAAGCTGGGGTAATTAAAGGTCATGTATTTTGACCCCTTGTGGTTTGAATTAATAAGGTTTTTACTCTTTGGAATTTGCCTTTGCTAGAAACTAGCACATTCATTAGCACAGTATGTTATATTCTATGCTCACATTAATTCCACAACTCAGGTCAATGGACTTGCTCCCTTGATTAAATCCTTTGGGACAAGTTGGATGCAGCAGATGTGGATTCAAGAGGAAGAAAGTGTTGTGATTTTCTTGGGGAGAGTGGGACTGGGGTTTGAACTCAGGGCTTCACACTTGCAAAGCAGGCACTCTACTGCTTTAGTCATACCTCCAGTCCATTTTGCTCAGATTATTTTGAGATGGGGTCTTGTGAACTATTTGGCTGGGATGGTCTCAAACTGCAATTCTCCCAAACTCAGCCTCCCAAGTAGCTAGGATTACAGGTGTAAGCCACTGGTGCCTGGCCAGAAGTGTTGTGATTTAAACAAGTAGTAGAAAATTGTAAGAATTTCAAGGTGAAGTGTTTGTGAAGAGGGATGCTACTGACATTGGAAATTTGGGGTAGAGGGCAGGTGATCTTGCACTGCTTGGAAGGAAAGAGTGGGTTTATCTCCATGGGGTCCTCCTGGGAAACAGTTGAGATAGTGAGTACGAAAGCACAAAGAGCCACACAGACAATAAAAAGCCATGTGCACTCTGCAGTCAGGCCCCCCTGAACTTAAGTCTTAGCTCCTTCTTTTCCAGCTTTGTGACCTTGGGCAAATCATCTACACTCTCAGAATCTCTAGTTCTTCATTTGTAAAATGAGATAATTGTAGGACCTATTTTAGTTGTGTAAAGATCAAAAGAAAGAATGTATGTAAAGGGCTTAGCACATTGCCTGGTACATGATTAGTGCTCAATTAATTTTGGTTGTTATTAAAATAATCATCATTACTGCTACCAGAGAAGAGTGTCTTTTTCTGTACCTCCTTTGGGAAGTTGTCAGAGCTGAGCACAAGATATGGCAGGTTCTATGTTATAATGTCAGTATTAATATTGTTTCTCTCTTGATAGATACATATATAGAGGGATGGGGAAGAGACTGAGTTTCTATACATGTCAAAAATCAAGGGTCAAGAGCTACGTATGGTGGCATATGTCTCTACTCTTAGTACTTGAGGGTCAGTGGCAGGAGGATTGAGTTTGAGGCTAGCCTGGCCGACATAGGGAAACCCCTCCTCAAAAAGAAAAAAACAATCAGGGATATTGCTTTAGCCTGAATAGACAGGGTCAAGTAAGCCATGGACAATTCATAACAATTTTAATTAATGATAACCTGAGCTCCATGACTATGTTCTTGACTTTATGACCCATCCACTAAAAGGCTACCTGGTTTCTGGTTGCTGCCTGCCCCCATTATTCAGCAATATCTTCAGCCAGCAGGAGCTGAGCTCTGTTCCAGGAGGCTGAAAAGGAGCTGTTGACATTTCATTAAGAAGCTGGCAAAATTCCCTGAATCAGAATTAAATCTCTGTCCAGGGCAATATAATGCTGCCTAGGGAGTTTTAGAAACTCAGCTTAAAAATGAGGGATAGTAGTGATGGCCCACCTGTCTGTTCAGAGCACTCTAAAAGTATCCACAAGGATTTTTGTGAAAATGTTCAAAATTCACACTAGGAAAATGGGCCTAGCCCCATCTATTAGGTTGGCCAATCTGAATCTCTCAGTCACTACTTATTTAAACCAGAGTACAGGGAACTATAAAACTATTAAAGATTCTGTCTATCTCTCAGAGATTAATTATTGTTTTGTTTTGGGTTTTCGTTGTTATTGTTTCATTTTGTTTTTTTGGTAGTACTGGGGCTTGAATTCAGAGCCTCAAGCTTACTAGACAGATGCTCTATCACTTGAGCCACTCCACCAGCCCTTTCAGGGGTTAATTTTTATTAGATTAGTTAGCTTATCCCTTGGATCCTGAGAAGATGAGAGATAGGATAGAGACTGTCCTACTGGATAATTGTAAAGTTTAGACTGTGATAAAATTCCAGATTATCTAGAGAGGACAGACAATTCAAGTATCTACTCTGTGCCACACATTTTATGTACATGAACCCTTTCAGCCCTCACAACAACCCTAAGAGACAAGTCAAAAGAACCCAGGATCCAGGAAATAGAGTCTTGCCTAGACTCACACAGCTGGTGCTAAGATATACACACATGCTCTCAAGCCCATATACTACTGGGTGTTATACAGGCTTGGTAGGTCAAGTCACATCATCAAGAGTTGAAGGAGTCAGATGGAAGCAGAAAAAAACCTAGTCCATTTATCTCCCATATGACTCATTGTTGGCCTAGGTCAGCTCCAACCCTGAGGGAGACTGTCCTAAGGCCAAAAAGGTCAGAGTCTGTTAAAGCAAATCTGGTCTTTCATGGTCAGAAGTAGTATCCTTTCTTCTGTATCCTGTCGGGGTGTGGCCCCTGGAAAGACTTGGGTGCCTCTTAAGTGAGTTTCAATGTTCCTCTCAACTTCTGGAGGACTCTCTTCCTGGTGACCTTTCAGGATTCCTTCATCAGTCTCTTCTTTTCTTCCTGAAGCCTGAGATCTGATCCTAGCAAAGAGACCTTTGGCTCAGGCCTTGACATGAACAGACAGTAGAACTTAGAAAAGAAAGGAAAGAAAACAAAAAAAGAGAGCCATAAATATACTATAATGAAAGATAGACACATACTTTTACAATTTCTTAGAACAAAAGTGTTAATTTCTAAAATTTCTTACAAATTAATGTCAAAAACACAACCCAGCTGAAAACAATAAGAGACTTATACAAAGTAATTCATAGAAAAATTACAAAAAAGTCATAAATGAGTCTCAAACTTATTTTATTCATAAAATAGAATGAAGCACTATTTTTCACCTATAAGACTTAAATTATTAACAACACCTCAAATTGGGAAAGATGTGAGAGATCAGGCATTCTCATATATTATTCATATGAGAAGAAAGTGGTACAACAATTTAGCAATTTTGCTTATGTATGCATTGGAGATACCTGAGAGAATATAGAAGATTGCTAAATTCTCATGTCTCTGAGGAAAGACTCTGAAGAAATTGGAGGAGCCATTTACCTTTGAGGATCTTTTGAATTACTTCAATTATTTTTATCATTGGAATGTATCACTTTATACTTTTAAAGGAGAAAATTGATTAATATTTCAAAAATAAGGAAGATGCCACCATATTCTTGCAATCTAGGTCAGTATAATGCCTTCTCGCAATGCATTGTCCTAACATCGGAGAAGAAGGATTAGCATTATATGCTATAATTAAGCTAATGTTTTTCTACAGATTTCACTACATAGATATCCCTCAAGGTGCTTCCTCTTCCCTGGTGGTTGTCAAGAAAGACAATCCATTTTTTTTGGCAGCATGGGAAAAACTCAGAGCCAGAGCTTCAATTTGAAGAGTGATAGGTATAGTGGAAAGGAAAGAAAAGGCTGGAGCTACAGGTGGCAAATGGCTGTAAAGAAGTGATACTGTGTCATTACTTTTCACATTAAAGCCCACAGATCATGTTGACTTGTCTTCCCAATGGCACCTCCTGAGCCAGTCTGTGTATCACTCAGAGCATTACCCTAAAGTAATATATGTTCTTGTTTCCCCTCTAGCTGGCTGTACAGGATTCTACCTTCAGTTTCTCACAAGCCCTTTGAGGCCATTGACCAAGGCCATGTCACTCACAATTGGGATGAAATTGCTCCTGATCCTAACCAGGTAATCTAGACCTATGAATTGGAACATACCACGTATCCTAAACTTTGAATAGGAATATTTAAATCAGGGTCAAGATCTTTGAAAATATTAGAATGATTTTTAAAATAAATGCTAGGTCTAGTTTTTGCTCAAACTTGGATAGGGATTTTGAGTAATTGGTTTTTTGGGGTTTTTTTTGTGTGTGTGTATGTGTTATATGTGTGTATATAAGTTTGTGTCCTTCTAACCTAAAGCACATAGACAGGCACAGGAATGGTTCAGACTTAAGAGCCCCCAGGAGAGTTGTTTTTCAAGGAAATTATATAGGCTGGTCAAAATACCTATATATCTATGACTTTCTGTTTTGTTTTTTTTAACCTAAACTTAACCACAAAATAAAGAAAAACATCCTCAATACTGACAACCCTGATGAGAGGTCTCTGAAATCTGTTATAGGCATGAGAGTCTTGCTGTCTGAGAAGAATTCTGTAAGTCTTGTGGTGTCAGATTGATGGTACTTTCTTTTCAGCCCAGGAACTTCCGTTTTTTATCCAGCAGTTTCTTCCCTTTGGTTCAGTAATAAGTGGGCTTTTCTTTGGGGATCAGAATTATCTATATACTCTGCTTGCAGCAATGAGATAGAATGAAGCTCTTTTTGTTAAAACTTTTCAGAATCGAATGTATTGCCTTTATCTTTGAGTTTAGGTACATGTCACTGATACCAGGATATATATAATGCAGAAAGAAAAATAGGCCTGGCCTTATATCTCTGGCTCCTCTGCTATGTCCTTGAACCCATGATGCTTCACTTATAAAATGTGATAACAGCATTGGCCTTGAGGTGCTATTGTGAAGATTATGTGAGAGAATAGGTGTGAACATGCTTCACACAGTGCCTGGCAGACAGTAGGCACAAAACCATGACTCTGATGCAGCCATTTTGAAATAATCACTTAAAGGCAGTGGTGATAACTGTGCATCTCAGCTCAGGAAGGTAATTTTTGTTTATCATTTGAAATTATTTTTCATTCTGGGGTCTCCATCTGCCACTCTCCCTCTCCCATCTCTCCTCAGCTCAAGGAAATCTCTTGCTTCTTCTTTGTTTGCCAAGATATTTTGTCTATTCTTACAAATCTATTTAAATCTACTTCTCCTAAATGCTTAGGCTTTTTGCAAAACAAAAGCCAGAATAATTCATAGTCACCTTTGGTTTCCTGCCTTGTTCCATCTCTTAATTATAGAAATCTCAGAGAACTAAGTACAACTTGAATGCAACTCACCCCCTTCCACCAGGGACAGAAAGGAAAGCATTCAGGGTGGAAAAATGTAAGTTAACATCTTAAAATGTTATCTATCTCACAGCCATTTTGAAACTGGGATATTTTGTCTAAATAATACCTTTAATTTATGTGAAGTTTAATGGTATAGCTGACGTCCTCCCCTGACTTCTTCTGCTCTGTATATTGCCTTGGAGCACATTGGAGGAAAGGCAGCCATGCTCCAACCTCAGCCCCACAGACTCAGGTCCCTCACAAGGGAACAAGAGCCAGGCTTTCAGCTCCTTCCCTTTTCTCCTTTAGCAGGACAGGGCCCTTGTTCAAGATACAACTTGCACAATAAACTTGGGGACCTGACTTCATGTTGTCCTCTAGTGACAGACTGCTAACTCCATGACATTTGCCTACTTTGTCTCTCACACTTGGGTTAGTAATGCATCTGTCAGGACATCCTCAGTAAATCATTTACCTCCTCACTTACTTCATAAAGCTGAGAGAAACAGATGAATCAGGAGAAAGGGATGTAAATTTATTAACATGGGGGCAGGAGTCTAAGGACAGTAATCACCCAATAACCCAACAAAGTTCAAATGTTTACATATCCTTCTTCACAGAGTACCAGAAAGGTGAGAGGAGGAATCGCCCTCAGAAAAATAGATGAAAAACCTGTCAGGGTATGGTGATGACTTATAGAACATAAATTATGGAATTTATGGTCTCTCCTTTCCAGTGGTTAATCTTTCCTGGTTATTTGATGAGATTGCTGAAAAGAGAGTTTTTGACAATTCCATTTCCTTTGGAAGACATTTTCTCAGTCAGATAAGGGAACTTCAGAGAGAGGCCTTCCCTGTGACTGGGAGAGAAACCTGGAAACAGACCTTGACTAAGGTATTTTCAGCTCAGCATGTCAAAATGCCACACTTTTAGAGTTTCTTTTTCTGAGCCCCAAAAGTTACATCTCAAATTCTCTAATTTCTCCCTTAATGTACAATGGTCATCCTCATTTGTTTTTATTTTTAAAAATCTAATTGCTTAATCTTCCACTAGAAAATAGAAAAAAAATGCATACCTGTGCTTTCATAGGATTCCTGGTCAGCTAAATGCCAACTCAGCATTTATTATATATGAGTATTGGAAGGTTGGGAAATTATTTGGACCACTATAAGTCTTCTTATTCTTTCTTAAAGTGGCATAGAAAATCCTCAGTTATGTGTCTGACAGTTCTCTCAAGTGGAGCCAAATCTCGTATTATACAAAGGAACAAAGTGGTTGTAAAATCACCAAGAAAGATAAAAAATAAACACACACACACATACACAAAACCCACAAACAAAATTATCTCTGATAATCCCTTTAATTACCTATAAAGTATATAAAGGATGTATGGTTTTGCTTGTGCTACCCACTATGGTATTCCTTATTCAAACTAAATTCAGGAACCACTGAACTAGACCAAATGAAGGATTACGGAGAAAGTCAATAGGCAGATAAGGATTTAAATCATGTGACTTTTAAGATAGGAATCAAATCACTAGTGGCAAATGGGGTAGGCCAGGGAGTTCCAGTGCCCCTGCTTTGCTCACATTGTTCATAGCAGTTGTCTCAGTCTCTAAGTCTTAATGCACCGTCTCAGATTTGTTTGTGGTTGTGTGGGCAACCATGGAGTCATTCTTCTTTTATATGATTTTATTTATAGTAGGGGTTTTAAAGCTAACCTTTACAGAAAATATGGGACTCTATACTGTGAGTATGATATGTAATGTGCTCAGGAATATGTTTTTAATGCCTATTATTTTTCCATGACTACTGCTGCTACATTTTATTTAACATGAACACATTCTTTTTGAAAGGTTATTTTAAGGTACAGGTGATATACCCATGGAAGCTGTGAAACCACAACTCTAGAGATCAACAGATCACTGAAATAAAAGTGGTTATTGAGCCATTACAGATGCTAGCTGAGTCAGGTTCCCGAAACTCCTAGCAACAGGCCTGGGAAGTGAGTAGTTGGCAAATGTCTGCTAGGCCAGTGATAAGAGCAATTTAAAATAAACTTTAGGGAAAGAAAGCACTGTAACCTACACTGGCTATAGCTGGAGGACATGGGAGGTGACGTTGAACAGGAAATCTTTGGAATAAGAGGGCAGTCTATAAGGAGAATAATTGTCCCTTCCAGATTGGTTGAGGTTAATAGTCCCAAAAAGTTAATATGCAAACAGGTTATGGAAGTCCTGGTGGTCACTATGATGGGATTTAATCAAGGCTTCAACATAAATGGTCTATTTGTTGGTTTTGCTTCTAAGCTATTATTAGCTCATTAACTTCCCCTGTCTCTTCCCCACTCTGCCCTCTGGTTTTTGACATTAAATTTGGAACATCTCAGATTTTTTTTTCTTATATTAAAGCTAAAGCTGTTGCAATCAAATTTTTCAGTTTTATCTTTTTTTATTTGTTTAGTTTGGTTTGGTTTAGTTTTTTTTTAAACAAGTTCTCACTATGTAGCCCAGGTTGGCCTCAAATTCATCATCTTCCTGCCTCTGCCTCCTGATTATAGGTATGGAACACTAGGTCCAGCTTTGCCTTGTTATATGAATTATATATACTTATAAAAACTCAACTTATGTAGGAATTAATAAAGTAGAAAATGAAAGTCTCCCATCTTAAGCCATAGCTATACGTATATTAGTTGTGTATACTAATTCATTATTTCACAAATAGCATAGATTTTGATAGAGAATGTTGCTGGAGTTGAGAGCAGAAATCTTAGCTTCAGGAGTTCCAACAGAGTAGGTCTAGCCACTTGTCTGATACCAATTAAAGAGAGTAGTGGTGAAAGACAGAAAAAAGAGATTTAAAGGAATGTGGCCACATTGGGAAGAATAAATAGGGAGGAGGGCAGTGACCCAAGTCATTTTTAGGGGACTGACACAAGCTTCCAGATTATACAGGGAAGGGCAGGCATTATGTCAGGATTAGTTAGGTAGGACCTTAACATGATAAGAAAGTCATTGCTGTGTGTGTGTGAGGGGGTAGATTCAACTCTTGTCACAAATGTTTTGATCAGTCATGTTGTTCCCAGAATGCAAGGTGACTGCAGGAAAGAGAAAGACTCAAAAGGAAAAAGACTCAGAGGCAAAAATAGAGCTAGAGGGGGGCAAAATGGAGTCAAGAAGTTCCTGGCACTGTGTTAGAAAGCTTGAGCTAATCAAAATTACTGTATCAGAAGTCTCTGCTTACTTTCTAGTAGATCTTCCATTCATTAATGTTCCCCTGCACCTTTGCCATGTTTTCCTGCTAACATTGCTTTGCATTTGTCCTTGTTTTGGATCACTTGAACCCTTTCTATATGGCAATGAACAAATGACTTCTCCATTACCACCACTGCTTGTTTACAACTCTGAATTCACACATGCTGGGAGAACTACACCTCAGAATCCCAAAGTACCTCTCTGAATGGCAGCTCCACCAAGGAAGTGGTTTACCATCCTTCTGATCTGTGACTTATATCATTGGCTATCTGCTTCCCTTGCCCTGATACACACACTCTGGCTTTTCTTGCAAAAGTCTATCCTTTTGTCTTTTCATTTACTTCTTTTTGACAAATTAAAAATCTCTTTTATGCTTCATTAATTAACCACAGCATTATGCATTCATCCCTCCCCCACCCATAACCTCTTCCAAATATGTACTCCAAACTCTCACTGAGAAAGTCTGAGAAAATTATATTTAGTTACCTATTTGACA